ACTATTCCCCCCCCCCCCCCCTCCTTTCCCAGTTATTTCAGTCATATGCGTGATTTGCATCCCCTTTTTGAAGATTTTCTATGGAATCAATGCTTAGCACAAAACCGACCTGAAATCAGTTATCAGAAAAGGAAAAGATCAGTCAAAATCGAAGGTGGGCATCAATTTTGCAAGCAATTTTGCTATCGCTTCCTCTTAAATCTATCATGATATGGCTCGCAAGTTAAAGCCGGGCATCAATTTTCTAAGCAAACTGCCAGAGTGAGAACAACCTGCAACAATGGCTCTCTTAATTAAAGTTCCTTGAAAAACTCACTTGCTAGTCATATAAATATATATAAAAAACTGCATGTTCAATGAGAACTTCCATCAATGGAGAACTGGCTTTCTATTTTTTCCCCTCTTTCCCAAAACTATAGATCAATGATAAAAAAGAAAAGAAAAGAAAAGAAAAGAAAGATGATCGAGCTAGCTAACATCTCTAGCTCCATACTCCGAGTTTGAATTGTCCCCGTCACAAATGTTATTAATGAAGAATGACTATAGAACAGAAGAAAACTTAAAAGGCTTTGTGATTTTATCATCTAAATCATCCCGAACAGGACTCTCATAAGTAGCAGGTGCAAAAGGTGCCTCTCTTGCTAGTGAATCCTTCTCAATCTTCCATGAGTATCTTATTTCTGCTCTGTCTGTACCTTTTTAACTTTCTTTTTATCTGATCAAGTGCTTGCCTTCTACTTCTCTGCAACCTAACCGTTGTGTCAATGTAAATTGAGCTAGCTAGCGAGCTAGGCAAGGCAAGCGAGACGGCGTGGCAGCATGCAGAGATAGCTGCTTGCTTTGCTTCGAACTTTGCCGTGGCAAGCTCTTGCAAAACTGAGCAAGTATTTATGATTTTCTGATACTTTTTCTTCCTTCTCTTTCCAGATAATCTAATTAAATTAAACACTTGGCTCTAACATACAGGGCTCTCATGGAACACTGCTAAAACGTGAAACTGTTACAACCAACACGGTCGTGTCTCCAGCAGGGACGTTACCGGCTACTAGTTTGCATGGGAACCATCCCTTTTTTTTTCTTTGAAAATATATAATTTTTTTAAATTAATTTTTTTAATGATTTTGGATTGTTTGACGGGATAATATAAAAAAAAATTTTAAAAATAAAAAATATTATTTTAATATATTTTTATATAAAGAATACTTTGAAAAATAATAGTTAGATGTAGTGGTATTAAAAATAAATTTTAAAAATTTTAAAAAATTAATATTCTTAAGTACCCAGGTTGACACATGTACTGAAAACAAATTAATATAATTTTTATTTTTACTTTAATATATATCATACGTATTTATTTAAATCACGTAAATAATATCAATTTTAATATAATTATAAATTAATATATGTGACAGGGTATAACTTAAAAAGACAGAGTTGTGGATGCTGGGTTAGCGTTATTTCCTCCGATCGGTTAAAAGAAGAAGAAGAAGAAGAAGAAGGTATCCTAACAACCTGGGCTTAGCAAAAAGTTCAAACAGCCCACGTTTCCAATAAAAAAGGCCCAATATAAGGACAATTACTACAAACCAGGAGAGACACCCTCCGTTCGTTCGGCGTTGCAGTTGCTGGAAAAAAAATCTCACCAGGAGCAGAAAAATCATTAGTAATGGCGGCAAATGAAGCTGGTATTGAAGTAACCGCACCAACAACAGGAGAGCTGGTGACCGACCACCCTCAGCCGCAGCCGCATAAACTTGAGAGGAAGTGGAGCTTTTGGTTCGACAACCAATCCAAACAAGGCGCCGCCTGGGGCACTTGTCTCCGCAAGGTCTACTCCTTCGACACAGTCGAAGAATTCTGGTGGCACGTATTTCCTTTATCCATATTCCCTTTCAATTTTATTTTTTTATATCTATTGCTAGATCTTTATTTTATTGATTGAGATTTTTCATTATTTTAATTTTTATTTAGGGCTTTGCTTAATGATTAATTATATAATTTTTTTTTTGTTGCAGTTTGTATGAACAGGTATTTAAGCCAAGCAAGCTGCCTGGAAATGCTGATTTCCATTTATTTAAAGATGGGATAGAACCCAAATGGGAAGATCCAGTGTGTGCTAGTGGAGGCAAGTGGTCTGTTACTTCTAGCAGAAAGGCCGACTTGGATTCCATGTGGCTTGAAACTGTAATCATCTTGCCTCTCACTCTTTAATTTTTGTGGTCTGGGCACCTTTGTTTTTAATATTAGCATGATTTTTTATTTTTAATAAATGATTGGACAGTTGATGGCTTTGATTGGGGAGCAATTTGATGAACCTGATGAGATTTGTGGTGTGGTTGCAAGCGTGCGTCAGAGGCAGGATAAACTTGCTTTGTGGACTAAAGCTGCTGCAAATGAGGCTGCCCAGGTTGTCACTCTCTCTCTCTCTCAGATTAACGTACCTTTGAATTTAGATAACATTTTTTCCAATATTTCAATGCTTTATACTGTCCCTTAAGCACCAGCTCCATGCACAGAACCTGCTCTTAGACATCATATGCATTTCATTGAAAGGTGTGCTTGGCTTTCTTTGCCTACAGTGAATGGAAATTTCTTCTGCATTCTCTGGTTTCTATATGGAGGCTTTTTTCTTTTTTGGTGTCCATGTTTCAAAGACTGGGAAGAGAAACATGCGATTATGTCTGAGGCTGAATACTGATTCGCTTAATATTTCTAAATAATTAGAGTTTGCATGTAAACAGGGGGATCTTGATGACTGTATGGTTTCTTGCATCAACAAATATTGATGAATGGTTTACTCAGCAATGGCTGATTTTATAATGGTTAATTATGTAAGTAGACAATGGGTGACTAGCAGCTCAGGATTGTTTCTTTGTTTCTGTATCTGTGTAATGGTTTACCTGGAGAACACATACTGCACATTGTTTTTAGCACATGTGGATGTCTGTTTATCTGAAGCACGCAAGCTGTTTGTCATTGCTAATTGCTTTCATTCATCTCCGCATATAATCTGATGAAGAATTCTGAGTAATTACAAGTTGAATGCTGTTCCGAGAGTGCAGTAATGCTTGGTTGATATAGTTAAGCATGCCGATGATTAGAATTTATTCTCCCAAAAAACATGTGCTTAGATTGCTGACTTTCATTTGAGTCTGACACTTTCTTTCACCTTTTATCTCTTATGTATTCATTATGTATATGTGTGTTTTCTGGTAGATTATAATTTAGTTTTATATGGCGAGCTGAAGGTTCCAGTAAAGCTAATTAATTAGGCAGTGTTTGGATGGCAGTTTGGCAATACACAACAAATTTAGCTTTCTGCTTAACAATTATCAGAACCTCCTTCCCCACTCTATTTTCTGTGGTCTTTACAAGATGTCAAATTTTCCCAAGTGATTTCCAGAGCTTTTCCTTGCTCGTGGGAAGGGATACTGTGCCATTACGAATGCAGTCTCATGTTTTTGCATGCTGACATGCATTTTCTATCCACCTTATCTAATGACAGCTAGTTGACACACTGATTCAACGATTTTCTTCTGATGCTTTAGCCTAGATGAAATAGCTATGGATCTGTTACCACTTAGCTCAATGACAGCAAGCTGGAATCTTGGCTTTTTTATTGTCAAAACAAGTTTCCATGTTCACATCTCTTTTATGTAGAACATAACACAATGTTCAAATGGAAACTTCTCATTGGGATTTAATACACTGGTTCAATAAGTTCTACTGGAAACCAGTTCCCACTGACATGCTGTTCTTTGCCTTGTTTGTGTCACTCGTTGTCTCCCTAAATGCTTCATGTTTATCAGTTATTGTTGCCCTCATTTGCTTGGAAGTTTAGGAGCCCTTCACACCACTCCCTTCTGCACTCCGGTATAACGGGGTTCTGACATTTGAATTTTGTTATGTAGATGAGCATTGGCAGGAAGTGGAAGGAGATCATTGACGTCAATGACAAGATCACCTACAGCTTCCATGTAATCTTCGTTTTCTGGTAGTTTCTGGTTTTAATAAAAATTACTTCTTAAATCTTACTATTTTGGTAATTGCAGGATGATTCCAAAAGGGAAAGAAATGCCAAAAGCCGATATAACGTGTAAGCACTCCATGACTGCATGTGACTTGCGGGGTGGTTTTGTTAGCATCTTTCCACAAGAAGAAGTGAAATGTATTTTTGATCTGAAAAATCCTTAATGGATGGTATCATGATGATGCTCCTTTAATTTTGGTGTTGGACACGATTGAGCTTGTGAGAGTATTGTGTTATACACTTACCAGCAATCTGTACTGTTGAGAGATATTGTTGTGCCCAATATACTTGGCAGAAGAAGCACCACTTCTACAGCTCCAATCATTTTTGTACTTGGGTTTTGCTATTACGTAAAGAGATTTAATTTTTGAATCCATGATGTCTGTATCGCTTATGAGCGTAGCAACTGCAGCAGCATAATGGGTGCACGGATTTTCAAGAAAAAAGAAAAGAAATTCCTTGTGATCGGTGGTTGTAACCTTGAAGGGAAGGCCGCTGGGAACTGCGAGGTGCTTGATCTAAAACGTGCCAGAGTTATCACTTGGTTTTCGCTTCACATGCCCCCTCTAAGCTAGCAAGAAATGGCAGCGTGGCTAGCTTTTAAGTTGTTTGAATGATAATTTAGACCACTCTAGCTAGCACGACTTGCTATGAAGATGTCTCGCGAAAACTGTCAATTAAGGACATGCATAAAACATAATTTGCATGTTGAAGAAAACTCAACTTGGTCTTGATTTTATACTCTATTGTTTTCGTTTTTAAGATTAATCTATTATTGGTTCGGCGCCAGGATTTATTGGAGGCCATTTAAGCAATTCAAGCAGTAGCTAGCCCCCTCCCCCCAAGAAGTCCAAAGTCACACTAGCAATGTATAAGTTTTGATGAAGCTTTAATAATCTAAAAACAATATTACAGGTAAAACGAAGAGTGAAGTAGGAGTACAGTGTCGTTAACATGGTGATTCCAGGGGACCCAGATGAAGAGAGTATTTACATCTGAAAGTCCTCAAATGAGCAGCGGAGTAGAAAAGCGTGGTACACGAAGAAGACAAAGGGAGAAATCGTTTCCTTTTTTTAAGCAAGGAATCCAAGTCTTTCTCCATTCTTCTTGGCCAGCCTAATCAGTCCTTGCCTTTGTTTTGCATCTGCTCCTATTGATCTGCAGAATTCGGTAATCACCTGCTCACAAAGCCATTTGATATAGTAACATATTAGTTATGCAATTTGATTAGATTGTTCGGGATCGATATTCTAAGGGTACTATAAGGATAAATTCTTAGTAATCTTGTTATAAAAGGCCAATATGTGGCCAAAAAAAAAAAAAAAACAACTGGAAAAAAGCTACCAACACCATAATTCATAACTGGTGAAATTAAATCTGGTGATAGACACAAGAATTATACCTGTGAGTGCAAGGCAAAAAAAAAAACTGGAAAAAAGCTACCAACACCACAATTCATAACTAGTGAAATTAAGTCTGGTGATAGAGACAAGAATTATACCTGTGAGTGCAAGGCAATTGCTTTGCCTCTTAGCTGATTGAACCTTTTCTTGCCAATTACTTGACGCGTGATAACAACAACAGGTGCAAAAACCCCCTTTCCTTCATTAACATTCTTCATCATGGGAGGCAATTTCACTGGCTTCCCAACTCTAACATGGTTTGGCACTGACTTGATCAACATGGCATAGTCTTCACCAACGATTGAAGCACCCCAACTTCCCTTAAATGAAGTCCCCAAACCTCCCTTAAACCCAGTTGCAGAAATCGAAGTAGCCATCGAAAAATACTGCTGCTAAACGCTCCAAGTTCTCTCTGATATTTAGATGGTGTTTCTTTTGCTCTACAAGAAAACTTGTGATGTATGTGTTTTCTAGGTCTTGGCAGAGGGAGGATATTTTTCGGTGTAAAATACGAGAACCTTTGGTTTATAATTGGAGGGTGGTGGGAGAGAAAGGGCTTCATGGAGCATTAAGAACCACACATGCTTGGTAGCTTGGATTTTTCTCTAGACTTCCGACCAAACACACATGAGAAAGCATGTTATTACTAGCGGTCCAAATTTTTAGAGGAGAAAATCATGACCTAGAATTTTAGTGTCTATTTTCCTTAGGACCGGGCCCTCACTCATTCCACCATTCTTTCACACGTAAAAGCTCCGATGGCATAATTCTGAACGTTCAGTTTATTATAATGATAAAAAAGAGTTGGCCGTATTTGACCAAAAGACTATTGAAATCGGGGTAGGAAACTCCAATTGCACTTCCCATTCCTCAGTTCCTGGATGCCACACACCGCAGGCTGCATGTGAACAACATGCTTGTGCTGTATTTTTCTTTCTCCAAACCCTTTCTCCTGCCGGCTCCAGACTGATTTCTCGGTTGTTCCCATTTAAATTGGTTTATTTACAAGAGTTTTGTTCTTGCATTCTTCTCCTAGATAATATACACTGAGAATTATAGTTTATTTCTAGATTTTATTGCGCATGTAATAGTTTACATCTCAGATTATTCTATAGCTTAGTTTATTTTAAATTAATCAAAATTATAGATTATAATTTCCGATTCCAATAAGTGTAAGAACAGCTAAATTATAGAATCATCAAAATAATTTTCTCTAATATATATGAAAAACAAACACCAGAATTTTTGGATGGAGTGATTTTTATGGATTATCAAACTAGATGTGGAAAAAGTTAGGTTGATTTTTTATTTTTATTTTTGTAATAAAAAAGGAATGCATTTTCACATTGGACGAAAAATTGAATGAACCAAGAAAAGAAAAAATAAATAAATATTGCTTAGGTTGTTTAAACAAGTTTGAAAATCTCAACTGTGCATGCTATTTTAGTAGTGTTCTTCAGGCATAAATCACATATAATATCAGAAGGGCGGCATTTTCTTTTCGAAACTGAGCCTTCGATCATTCTTTAATGAAAATAGTTTCATCAAAGTTTCTCATCCATAGTTCATTGTTCTAAGTTTTATGGATATTAATTGGTGCTTTGTATTGGTTTTTTATAGTCAATGGTAAAATTTATTTCTGGATTAGTTTTGTTTGTCAAACAAGATTTGGTATCCTTTCCGCATAATCTTAAAAGATTTAATTTTTATATTAACTTGATGCATTTAAATGAATCCCAAATCCTCACATACTCAATTGTTCTATATATAAAAAAAACCTACAGAAGATCACTTTATCACAGTGATCCCAAAGGTCCTTGGCCTCTTCATGAATACTTCATTGGCTGCCAAGAACAGAGGCTGTGTAAAGGCTGGCTAAGCAGTTTGTGGACTTACTCTCACCATCATCTCTCCCGCAGAAGAGCTAATGCAAGATCTCACTCTATTGTCTTCCAGGTCAATCTTTGCGAGCCATAATTAACATTGTGGTTATACTGCGTTACTTCTGTTGCTGGTTTCCCTGACTAGCAGCCCTGTAAAGGAAGAGACAATTAGTGGAATCGAGGGCTTCTCTGAGCTGCAAAAATATTGCAGGTGGACTGGACCTTCGCTGAAATGGGCTATGTAATTGACCTGTTCATTACAGAAACAGCTTGAGTTCTACGACCAAGTGTATTACCTCATTTTCAATCACAAAAACATGCTCAGGCATGGTTGTTCCGATCGAAGACCTTCTCTAGCCCTACACTGACGTTATGAAGAACAATCCATCTTCGGTCCTTGCTAGCCTGTTTGCCATGTGTTAGATTGTTTTCATATACCACAGCCAAATGAGTGTACTTTACATCATAAATGCTCCAGATTTTTTTGGGTTTAATGTCAAGTTGAAGTAAAATTTTCAAAATATAACTGCTAATTTTCTCTTAATTTTGATTTTAACTTTAACACTCCTACAAATAATGGATTACTATCCTTTTATCATCAGATTAACCATCAAAATATTTTTTTTTCTAAAAGTTTTATATTAATATATTAAAATAATATTAATTTAATATTTTTCAAATAAAAAATATTTTTAAAAAACACTCAAAAGCAAAAGGTACTGAAATTTCAGTGTATTTAATATTATATTTGCAATGAGAGTGTATTTAACTTAAAAAATAATAAATTATTTTTTTTAATAATTTCAATGATTTTAATATTAAAAATTAAAAAAAAAGTAAAAATAATTATTTTATTATATCTATCTTATCAAACATGAATTCCAAACAATCAAATGAAATTTCTTTTTCTTTTTGCCAAAGTCTCCTCCATCAACTTTCCTGCATCAAGATTGTTGAACTTTTAATTCGATCAAAAATAGAATATTTATACATTATCTAACAAAAACAAATTTATAAAAATATCCAGTTAAGACAATCCCACAAGTTGAAGTGACCACACGCCATCTTCTCCCCCCTACAATTGGCAACGGAAAAAAGTACATTGAAAACTGGCCTTGGAAGAACAGGTTGGAACGTGTCGTGTCTACATTTCTCCAAACGTTAACAGAATCAAACAGAGACCAGAACAGACAACAGAAACCGAAAAACCAGAAAAGGAGAAAGAAATGGCATCTCTCGTAACCCATTTGTGTGCCAGTCTTTTCCTTCTCCCTATTGGCCTACGACGTCTCTTCTGCTCCTCTTCTCTTTACCTCAAGAACACATCTCTTTTTAGATCCAAAACATGGTACCTCTCTGATCCCAAATGGATTAATCTTGATTTATATGCTCTCACTGTAGCCCTCCCTATTGCTTCTTTCTCTCTGATCTTTCTTTTCTTCTCTATTAGTACGGGTCATATAACTTACCGTTTCTCGTTCTTGCATCAATCATTGCTTCTATTTCTCTACTGGGTTTTGGCAATTCTGTTTGTTTTACGCGATAGCATCGACCTTTTAGTCATTCTTGATAATTTCCTGTTTGTGTTTGGTGGGATTTTGTTTTTTGTAGAGTATTCTTTTATTGGTGAGGGCACTTCTGGTCTTGTTGGTGAGGCTGTTTATGGTTTGTGCGGTAATCTGAGTCTTGTTTGTGGACTTTGTTGTTTGTATTTGGCTATTAGACCGGGTGCATTTTTTGCTGAGTATTGTTTGTCTTGTGGGTTGGTTTTGAAAGGGACTTGGTTTTTGCAAGCTGGGTTGTGTTTATATACTGATGTTTTTGGTTTGAAAGGGTGTCATAAGATTGAGATTTTGCCAGGAAGTGGAAATGTTGAGTTCAAGTGTGATCTTGAGGAGGATGGATTGAGGGGTGTGGCATTGGTGAATTTGTTGTTTGTTGGGCATGCAATTATTGTCTTTCTTGTGAGTTTGGGGATGCTTGCATTGTTGTCAAGTAATAGGAATTTGAGGCATGGTGAAGCAAGTGGTCCTTTGTTGGCAGGGCTTGAATCTGAGAGTGCTTTGATGCGGGCGCTTCCTGAATTTGAGGTGGAATGAAGTGTATTTTTTTCTTCTAATTTCCCATGTATTTACGATACAAAATTTTAGTGTTTAATTGAATTTAAATCGATTGTTTGTCTATACATACAAGGCAATGGTGTTCTTTTCCTGATATGCTTTTGATGTTTATGCACAGAAATGGTTTACTAGGTCGTCCTTCTAATTTTGAATTACCTTTGATCAGTGAATGATTATGGTTAAGCTTTTTATTTATCGTTTTCGTTCAATGAGCAGTGCTGGCAAAACAATCAAAACTTATGGAACTAATTAAGGTGGTTTGACTTGCTTTCATATCTATGTATTTGATGAGAGGCCATAACATAATCATGCGAAAAGCCACATACAGGTGCAATTTTGTAGGAAAATAAAAGCTCTGTTCAAATGAAACGTCATGTCTTTTTATCTAATCATCATGCTAATATTTTACAACAGAATCGGCTGGCATTTTTTTCTTTCCTTTTTGTCTAGCAGGAGATGCTTCTAAAGTCAAGTTCCTCTTTTTTATCTTGCAACTAGGTACTGTAAAAAAAATGTATTTTGTCATCTAATACGTACATAGATGGACTGCCAAACATTGAAGCAAGTTGAGCTCGTTTATTTGCATTCTGTATCCAAAAGAGAAAATGGAGGTTGATGCAAGACCACTTGCATACAGGATGGATTTCTAACATGTTACCATTTGCTGATATAATTATTAGAAAAAGTCTCAAAATCATGTACATTTTATGAAATGTATGGGATATAGAAAAGGCCTTGATTCTTGTAATTGCCATACTAACATGTGCTTCCATAGATTAGGCATTGAGAGGCCAAAACTTGGAAACGGTTGCTGCGGTTGCCTGTTGGCATCGATAACATTTTCTGCCTACTCCAATGCACAGGAACAGGCACAGGATTTAGGTATTGAAGGACCAAAAATAATGCATGTATATATTTGGGAAGGGCTTCAATATCTGTTTCTGCCTGTGAGTAAAGGCTTATTGCTTTGTTATTTGTTACCAAGTAGATATTTTGGAAACAGTTGTTGGGTTTGCCTATTGGCATTGGTTTTAAACATTTGTGGCATAATGAGGGCCTCCAAATTGAAGGAGGCTTTTGTGTTCCCCCCAAATTCATTGCTTCATATTGTTATTATGAATGATGACATTTGAGTAGTTCTTATTATTCAACTGGATGATAATGGTCACTGGTTCTTTAGACCTCTGAAGTGATCAAAGTGTTTAAAGTTCAACATTTTATACAAGTTTATTCTGATATTTTCTTTCATTTGACTGTAAATACCCGCAAGCTTTAGAATGTTTCCTGTTCTGCAGTGAATAATTAAGATTTCATCCCACTAATAGCATGTAAAGTAGCAAAACAAAGTATATTTCAATGGAATTTAGGATTCAATGCAGAAATATGGTGGATTTTTTTTTTTACTATCATTCAAGTTGAAGAAATTGCTATTTTAGAGGATAAAATGCACAAAGTGAAGCTCGTTAATTTGTGATTTTTATTTCTTCGATGTGTTTGGAGCCAATTAGAAGTTCTTTAGAATTTTTCAGATTTTGAATATGGTAAAATTTAAGGACCTCTATGGTGTGTATTCACAGATGGATCATGGCTTTTATCAATTCGTGTATTTTTACTGTTGAACGTAGGTGCTATTGTTTTGCTGGATAGCTTCTCTCCTTTTTCCGTTCTCACATTCCTCTTCCTCACAGAACACGAATCTTTGAGTATCATGGAACCTTTATTTAATTTATTTGTTGTAGAAGTCTGTAGTCTTTGTCCCCTTCCAATTTTTTCTATCAAAGTGCAAAGAAATGGAATGTGACTATCCTTTCAGTGATCTACTTGCAAGATGCTTTATAAAAAAAAGGTTGCAGGAGCATGAGATGGATCCAGCATTCATACGAGGAAGATGTGATACAGGAGCAACATCTAAGTAGCATGTATGTTTAGTACTGTAGCACGCTACTGAAGGAAGACTTCTCTAAATGTTCCCTGGATAAAAGAAGAAAAGAGTCAGACAATAGTTTTGATTTAAATCAAGATATTTCTGGTATCCTGTAAGCAGCGTTGCATGACTTGTCTAAGATACTTTTTTACCTTGAATGATGTATTTTTTCTCACGTTCTGATGTCTGTTTTTTGCTAACAAACGAGCACTTTCTATCTGTTGATCCTTTTGTTTGTCATCTTCTCCCTCACACACACACACACTCACACTCTCAAGCATATGCATGCTTTTGTGTGCACGCACTTTTTACCTTTTGTAGTTTAGTTTTCATCCATATTTATCTGTAACACAAAAGTCAAATTGGCGATTATGTTATCACTTTGAGAATTCTCAGCAGCAAATGATGTTGTTGGCTTTTGACCTGTAAAGATGCCAGATGCTTGTCTACTGGTTCAGTATTTTGATGTTCTGTGAAGTCTTCAATTGGTGATCTCCACATGGAAACCTTCGAGATTTTTTAATCTCGTTTACTAAAATCAGATTAATGGAACTGTTGCCACTACATCCTATGGGAACATATTGAGGTTTTTATTTTTAAAAAAATATTGGTATTTCTTGGTTGTTGACTTTCCTTGTTAAAATTTTCGATGTTTTGATTTTGATTTATATTCATATACCTATTCCTCAACTATCGTTCTGCTTATCTGTTTGGTATGTTTGCCGCTTTCATGATTTTTCCTATCCATTTTGCTAACCAGGCGTGTTCCACTTCAGAAAAGGGAAGCAAGTAGAAAAGCTTTAGGGCCTTGTAAGATATATTGAAGCCGAGTTTGCAAATCTAAGATTGCTTGAAGAAATTTGGATGACCAGTATTTTTCCTTTTTCATCAAGGTGGAGAGGTATGGCTGACTAAGAAAAAAATAGAGGGAAGGTTGTTGAGGAGGTCCTTTATAGCACGCGTCTCTAGATATGCTGGTAAGGTAGAGTGATTGTACTAGAGAAGAAGGGATGGGAGTATTACTATGGATGTTAGGATGTGTAAACACACTATTAAAGTCTGGATAAGAAATGAGTACATAATCTGGATGGTGGGGGTGACTCCTGTTGAAGGAACTTAAAGAGAAACTAGGATCTTCTCACATCCAACATCAAGTCTGAATGAACTGATGAGGAATGTGATCACATTGAAGTATTAAGATGGAATAAGGATGTTGATGGAAAAAATGTCTCGGGCTAAAGCAAAAAACAAAAATGATTTAGTATCATAACAGTTTACAAAGAGCCCGACCTAAAATATTTCTGGATGGAAATCCATGGAAAGGAACCCAAATAGTTTAAGATTGAGGGTTATATGAGTCGAGACAATAATAAATAAATCGAAAATGACTTGAGTTGTAGTTGCAAGGAGAAAAAAACAAGAAATGGATTTTATTTTTGAATTTCTTATATATATTGTAGCTTTAAACAGACTGGAGTGAAGAAAAAGGACTCAGTATTCTTTAAGGGGCACCACATATAAGAAATCTTAAATAGCATCTTTTAAGTGGCTATAGCAGAAACATATATCAGTAGCTTCAGTTCTTTTGGTGATCTAGGTAGGGTATCTTAAGGGAGTCATTTGCAATGTCAATGTTCTAAAGTTGTTCTAGTTGGGGCACTAGTAAGCTGAAGAGAAATTCAACTACAAAGGTGCATCTGATGGAAATTCATGGTTCTACAGCCCTGCAAAGCAGATTTTGCTACCTACGTAATGATAATCACCTTTCCTTCTTACAGGTGTCTTCTTAGAAGGTTTGATGAAGAGGGTATGCTTATCAGGAAGGAGTTAGGAACCGAAACTTTAACAAGTAACAAAAACAAGAATTGTGTGAAACCGGAGTGCATATCTGCTGGCAGTAGATTCAAGTCTACTATCCAGAGAAATAATGTTTCAACTGTTAATCTTTTCTGTGTACACGGTTCGGCAAAACAAGGAAAATATACAAGTGGCTTGGTTGCTGGACTTTCAGAAGAACAATGTCAGTGCAGAAAATTTCTAGCAAGTTTCTCTGACCTCTTGATTTAGTTTAATACGTAAATAGGGTTTTGAAGTCTGGTTATACACATTAAAATAACTGTCACATTACAGGAGGTTGCACGAGCTTAACTACTCTTGCATTTCTTTTTCCTGTTTGTGTATGATTAACTGATACAAACTGCAGAATTCCCATTACAGTGGTGTTGTTAATAAGATTAGAGTCATTTAACGATAGACCTGATGGCTCTTGAGTTTGCTCTATTGCCATTGTCACAATCTTAGTATATTAGAGTAACATGCAGCTTTGATGTACTTATACTAGACAAACGCATGCTAATATTCATGGATAGAAGTTCACATAAGGCACAAAAGTACATCTCATAACTGCAAATAAGAATATTTAACATGGGAGTTTTCATCATTCTAGCTTAGTATATCGCAGCGGAGAAGAGAACTTTGGGATTATCAACCATCGTCTATGAAAACGCCGAAATCCATGAATTTTAATCCGAAAACGAATTTGCAGGATCTTCCTGGTTAAATCACGACATCTTCTCTTAAAGTTTTTTGGTTTTGATAATCCTACCAATTTTCCAACATACCGACATTCTGCATGTGCTGGAACACAAACAAAACATGAATGTAAACCAAAAGTAAAAGAATATTAACAAACAAAACATGAATGTACACCAAAAGTAAAAGAATATTTATTTGTCACTTCTTTCTTAACTCATTCTCTTGTCGTCATTCTGCTGATGAGACTGTTGAGCAACAAATTATCGTTTTATAAGACATTCTTATTTTAGTATTTCTCTAATTGCCATATAGATGATGGAATGACTTGTGGGTAAGTTAAAGAGTTTCTCAGCCCTGAATCCATCAAAACATAAGAGACATAATCTGGTGCCTCTATGTGAAGCAAAATTGAAATTGCCCTTGTTCTTTTCTTTAATTTTGTCTGTAATAACATAAATGACCTGAAAACTTTACCTTTAAACTTTTTAACATCTTCATTTTCTTCCAATTTTTCCTTGTGCAGAACCTGCAAGTTGCAGTAAGAAAATTAGTCTCACTGTCCTCTTGTTGAGGGCTAATGTATTATAGACTCGTGATTGCTGTTCTTGCAGTGTGGAGTTGCTAGGTCGGGTCCAAAATTACCGTTTGGAGTGCAGGGGAAGAAAAACAAAAATCAAGATGCAAAACAGTTAATTTTTCAATGGCAAGAAAGGAAAACTGTAATGCTCTTTGGTTATCAATCTTTCTGTTTAGGGTTTTTGTTCAGCACCTCAACCAAACTTTCCAGACGCTTTTGCATCCTTCTTTGTATGAAACCTCTGGTGCCCTATTGGAGAAAATCTTGTCAGCAAAGGACGTATGCGCTACGAACTCCAGTGCTCAGCACCCCTCATGCCCAAAGAACCTCAATAGAAAATAAATAAAAGAAAAAAAACCCTGATAGAAAATATTACCTTCACGTGTTTTTTCACATAGGCATAGAAGTTCAATAGACTCCATACTGTTTTGTCTAGTTTTTTACCTTCAACATGGCGTGAAGAAATATCTGGCAATATGGAAGCAAAAAGTCAACTTAAACATACTCAACTTTTTCTTGTACGTTGATAACCATGTCTAAGACGGGGAGGATAACAAATGCTATTATTAATATCCAAATGGAAATTTTCAAAATCAATGAATTTAGTGCCTGTATATTGTGTACCGAAGTTATAGCTAGTTGTCAAGCAATTTTGTTATTTTCACTGATAATCATTGCAAAACGATGGAAATGTTGTTTAAACCACTCTATTCGTGGTTTCGTCTTCAGTTATGAGCAAGGGAATACCAAAAGAGACAAACCCTCCGTTGGTGCTTAAATCTTCTAAAGGTTCTCCTCTCAGTTCTGGCGGAGGAATGGGTGACCAGGTGCATGGTGGTGCTTTGGCCCATTTTTCTGAACTACCCAAATCCATGAGTTCCTATTGCAAAAGGAAAAGGGGAAAGGCTAATGAAGATGCCGTGTTTTTTAAATAACAACAAGAACAGAATTCAGGACCGAACCAAAAATCAGGTGAGTCTCCCATGTTTAGTGTTTTGCGAACCTGAAAGGAGGCTGTTGCTATAATCACATCTGAGTGCTCTTTAAAACGCATTGGGAATACTGCTGTGATTTTTTGTGGCTGTCAAGCAAAAAATATTATTTCAATTTAGCAGCCTGTACTCGAATATGAAGTCTGATATTGTCCCTCAGGGATTGAAACCTTAATTAGAAGAAGATGGTGATTGCCTGAGTGGTATTACCTGTCTGATGACATAGAAGGGCTCTCTTGGGTGATAAACAAGTTTAATTGGCTTATTCATTCCTTGGGATGTGTCCTGGGAATTGACATTTCTCAACATTTCTTTCAGCTGGGAACATAGTATAACTGCTTGCACTGAGGAAATTTGCGTAATCACTTTGTAGGAGTCTGGAAAGGAACATTTGTATCAGCATGATTATGAAGTGCAGAAATTTCACAGCATGGTATGAAAATGGACAGAAAAATAAACATTTCCTATTAAGATTTTCTTCTTTATCCTTTCATTCCTTACAAAATGCTTGGATAAGGAAGATCTGATGTTATTATTTTCATGCTCCAAATCTTAAAGATTACACGGGCTTCAATAACAAGTCATTGAGCATAAAATGTCTTTTTCACTAGTTCTAATTAGTTTTAGGATCTTGAGTTGAATGCTTTGTCTACATTTAGCAGAAGTCCCTTTTTCAAATATTTTGTTCAACTCTTATTATTATTTCAGCTCTCCACCTAAACAGATGGTACTATTTTCTGAGTTTTTGACTCTTTTCTGGATTATTATCAGCTAATCTCTTTATTTCCTACTCTCAATGTCACGGAAAACTTGGTATGGATGTCTTCAAATCTGAGATTGTGGACAGTGGAACTGGCAGAAGCAGGAAACCTGTTATTTAAGAGGACAGCTAACTCAGGACTACAGTGATCTGGAACTCTAGGTGATCAAAGATTCAAAATGTCAGGTTTAATATGTCTAGTTTGGGTGGTTGAACTTTTCTTTGTACTGTTAATGTGTCTTTGCTGTAACACCTGAACTCAGGTTTACTGCATAGAGTTCTTGCATCTCTTGTTTGTGTAAAGAATTTACACAACTTTCTTCTCGTTCAAGCTTTCTTTCTTCTTTTGTAGACTGATAGTTTGAATCTATGTTTTCTCTGTATATTCCATACTGATGTTATAATTTATTGAAAACCACTCTCGATTTTTAGGTGAATAGAAGGAATAATATGCTTAAATTTAAGACAGCACTAGTATGTGCTACAAAGCACCAATAAGCTCTTGTTTTTTTTATATATAATTATTGTTATCGCGATGATTTGGAGAAGTAGCAAACCTTTTCCACGTGGAATCTTCGCAAGATTTAGCTTTAGGGTAAGCTGATATCCTTCTTTTGCATGTTCAACAATTTCCACAGCATCCGAGCAAACTTGCTGTACCATCCGCGTAGTGTACGATGACAAACCACATGATAGCAGGGCTCCCTGGGACAGTAGTGGAGTTGATATTGACAGGTAGTTGTTTTGTGGATCAGCTGCAGAAGACTGTGAACATTACAGGATGATTACCAGAATAATTCTCAAGATTTTGTTGAAAGCCTATATATGTCAGGATAGCTCAAATTGACAGATAGTAGGCATGTCCTTTTTTAGCATGCACACAGCCATTAATCTCAATTATTTTCACAAATGCAGATTTCCAGATGCCGAGTCATTCCAGCTATTTGCGTTTACACAAGTTATCTGTAATTATCAAGCTAAGAATGCAATAGACTAACCTGAACATGGTATTCCACGCACCCGAATTCATACAAGTGATGATCAATCTCCACAGGCTTCTCAGCACTATCATGAAAGGAAGAGCATCAATTTTCATCATCGTTTTTGTTGATCATCCATGCAACTTGAGATGCATGTTTGCTTACTTGGAATGTGAAGGAGAAGAAAGTAATTTCAAAACTGACCATATCAATGAAAGCCTACTACTTTCAAGGTTTGCATTTTGTTAGTTTCCTTTTCCTTTCCTCGACTACTAGAGCTTGAATATCTAGAATTGCATCCACAGAACATTTTCTATTGTATATGAAATATACTGATGAGATAGTTCTGTAGAGGCAGAGACTTATTACATGGAGTCGATGAGACACCTTAGCAGAACTTATCATGCATTTATTTCTTAATTTCCTGCTTTTTATTTCGGGCAAGCCAATGATAAAACATGTTGTATGCAGAAGTTACCTTTAAACAAAGAAATTCAACCACCTCAGATATGATAAATGAGGATTAGCAACAAGTAAAATTCTACCTTGAGAATCTTGATGGATCAAAAGTGCTTACCGGTATAACTTGAGCAGGATCTCCTTGAGTGCAGGGGACACCCTCTCAAAGCATGCCATGCCGAAGAATCCTCTATCAAGTTTGAACTCGCATGGTGGTGGAAATGAACTGAGATATAGAACTTCAAATACAAAGGTTTTGTCTATATCTATGAACTTCGAGTAGAAAGCAAGTTGAAATCTCACAATCATTGTGAGCAACCCATGAAGCAAGTACCTACCGTTATCTCCCTCTTATCTCTCCATCTTTCTGCTTTGTCACTATGTTGTTTGTAAAGTACGCTAAATGGATCACCTGCCAACGTCCTCCTACTGTAAGCTTCTGTCTGATTTTCCTGTACTTGTGCCCCGCTATAATGTGTGGCCATATTATTTTTAAATATCACAAGCGTATTTTAAAAAGAATAAAAAAATTCAATGATCGGGTTTTAGATCCAATCAGAGCAAATAATTTGCTTTTATTTTAATTAAATGATAAAAAATAAATAATGATAATAAACAATTCAAAGTTTAAATAAAAAAAATCATGATAACTTGAAAAAAAATCTTTTTTAAAGAAAAAAAACAATATAGATCAATTTTCAATTAATTAAATATAAAAAGAAAAAATAGATAAATATGATTAATAGCTGACACATGTATTGCACGCGTTACTAATTTTTTTATTTTAATAATATTTTATGTTTATTAAAATATCAAGTTATCTTTGACCAACTTGATAATAATAATAAAAAAATAGGTTGAAAAAATAAAAAAACCCCTAAAAGCAAGATTTAAAAAAATTGTTTTTAAGATCAATTGAGTCATTTTATTGTATTTTAAAAAATAAAAAAATAAAAAAGCTCTTAAATGTTAATTTCATAAATTTTACTTCTAAAAATAAATTAGTAATTTTATTATTTTTTAAAAATTAAAAAAAATTATTTTTTTATCAATCCGGCAATAGTCAAAGGTTCCTGTGAGAAGAACAAAATGCCCTTAATACGAATTTCATTGATTTTTTAAAATAAAATAATAATTATAATATTTTAGTGAATAGTAAAATATATGTGGATGTACAATAAATATCCTTTCAATAATTATAATACGACAATGCCTTTTTTTTTTTTTTGAATGTTTCCTTCTTGTTCTTTCCCTTTTATTCTGAACCGTGAACGCTTTGCGTCATCATCATAAAATAAAACAAACTTATACATAAAACCACTAAAAACAAAATAAATTGAGAGCGAATCTTCCAAAAAAAAAAACATAAAAAAGCAAAAGTAAAGAACCTCTTTTGAAAACCAAATCACAAAAATAATATAAATAATAAGTTAGAAGTGTGGTAATTTTTATTTTTAAATTTTTTTTAAAAATATATATATTTAAAAAAAATATTAAATTAAAGTTTTTTTTAATATTTTTTGATGTGTTAATATAAAAAATAAAAAAAACTTTTAAGAAACACATAGCACTAAGATAAAAAAACAAAAAACAATACATTTAGAATCTAATTAAATAAGACTTTAATTTTTGATATACAAGATTATACAAGATAAGCATTATGTATTAAATTTAGTTTAAAAAATAAAATTTAATGAAAATTATTAGATGAATCCTATTCATCATTTAGGATAAATAAATAATTTTTTTTACATATAATTAAATTTAATTGTATCATTTCATGATTGGTATATTATTAGAATTTATTTAGAATTGTAGTAGCAATTGTGGTTTAAAATATTTTTCACTTAGAAATATATTAAAATAATATTTTTTTATTTTTAAAAAATTATTTTTATGATTAACATATTGTAATAATTTAAAAATATAAAATATATTTTTTAACAAAAAATTTAAAATTTAGAAAAGCTTCGTTTCAAGGTATTCTCAAATGATTTGTTAATAATTTTATGAAAAGGGTGGTATGGTATTAAATGTGATAAGATTTATATTATAAATATTATTAACTAAATTGATGGTTAATGATTTATATAACTTTTATCGATTAATCTATAATTTTATAAATACCATCAGCTATAAATTGTTTTAGCTATTAATTTATCGAAGCCAAAACACAGCAACACAATCGGAAACGGTCGTGAAGGCGAAAGGCCACTAGTATCAGAATGATCATCAAAATCGAAGCACCCCCACCGACATTGTCTCCACTTCAGGCATCACCAAGACCCTTGACTAATCACAATATCCCACGTGGATAACTATATCATAACGAGATTTAACTAACGTACACCATCAACCACTTCACGGTCCGGTCGCCCGTGTCAATCACTGACAGCCGTCGTATCTCCTCTCCTTTGCACTCTTCAAAAAATAATAATAGACCAATAGTAGTAATAATTAAGGGGGGAAAAAAACAAAAAAGGGTCTTGAGGAGTCTTGTCTAATTTATATAAGAGAGCAAACAAGAATTTCTATGTTTTGGGTACCTCAAAAAAATCAATCTTGGGTTTTTTTCTTTTTTTTTTTATTAAAAAATTAATTTAAATGGTTTCCTTTTCTCTCTTGTTTGATTTACTTCTTAGAACGATTAATCTTGTTTTCTCTGTCTAATTGTTCGTTTCCTTATTCACACGGCTAACTATCAATATCAATTAGCTTAACAAAGCTCTTTTCTTTTCAAAGCTCCAGTCTTTCTGTCGCTTTCTTAGGAAAGCAATGTTATTTCCTCCTCCTCCTCCTCTCGATGACTCCTCCTTTTTATCCCTTCTCTTTTAGATTTCTTGATAATATATATTTTCTTAACCAAATTCAGAGCTTGATCGTGTAAGAAATGAGCGTTGACCTTTTATCTTGATCAAAACCCTATCAAAACAACCTTAACCACGCAAAAAGTTTGTATTTTGGGGTTAGGGTTTGTTAATTCTTGATGTTTGGAAATCTGGTCTGGTGTTATTTATGTTAAATGTCATTTTGATTGTTAGAATTGGTTTCTGATAGCATTGTTTGTGCTTTTTTTGGGTTGTGGTGTAAATTCGTAATAGTCAATGGAAAAGGATGTTGGTAAGGATGCTAATGGATCAAAAAACGAGCCTTTGATGATGACTTTAGACTCTCGAGAGGTTGAGGAGGATGTTGAAGAGAATGGAGAAGATTATAGTGAGTTCAAGGCTTTGTTGCCTCCTAGGGAAGGTGGAATGTCAAGAAATTCAGACAAAGTCAGGAGAAAAGTTCAGTGGAATGATAATAACGGGAATAACCTTGTGGAGATTTTAGAATTCGAACCCAGGTAATTTCATAATTCTTGGCTGAGTTTTGGCATTTTTTACTTTTCTAGCTTTGCTTTTGTTGTTATCTGGTATTTGATTCACAAATTGAGCTGTGAGTTTTTCAGTTTTGGAAACTAGTTGTGACTTAATCATCAAAAAGAAAAGTTGTTGGGCTAGTGCATTTATGGGCATATGATCTGGCAATGCTTGATCATCTATGAGCAGATAAGCTTCAGATTAATTGATAGATGCTGGGTGAAATTATCCTGGCGGTTTTTAAGTTATTTCCGAGCATTTTGATGACTTTTTTTGGATTTGAGTTTTTAGACTTTTCCTCAATTTGAGGAGAAGTGTATCTCTGTGAAGTATGAACGTTAGGCAAGTTCCACACATACCATGCAAGTATTTCGGGAATGAACTCTAATTAAGGAACAGGCTGAAGAGAGTCAAGTTGTTGTGGTATGAGCAGAGCTTGACCCTCTCGAGTCTGTATTCCTTTTTTGATTCTTGGTCACTCCCATTTACCGAACATAACAAATCACTTTGTATTAGTTTGGAAGCCTTATTTATCACTTATGAAGCCAATTTTCTTGTAATCTTTGAACAGCTACTTCTGTTGTGTTTTGCAATGGATATATCGCTTAAGTTCTTGCCTATCTCTTTTCCATCTAGAATCAAAAGGACAAGCTCGTTCAACATCATCTAACAATAACAATGGGACCAAATTATCTAGACCACTTGGAGCAAATGATATGCTATCAACTTTATTAGCAATGAGGAGGAATGAATATTATCATTATAATGTTGGAAACTTCAAAAAAAATGATTAATCTTTTGCTGGAGTTACTGTGAAACCTAGATTTTTATTTAAGCTGGTTGTGCTTAGTTTTTATCAAATGATCTGTTTGCTATCCAGTGTTTAACATCATTCAACCTTCAGGCTCATTTACTGTCATTTTAGTTTGATTGAACGTTATGTGACCTCTGTTTCTCATGAAAGAAGTGGTTTGTGCTAAGAACGTTACTTTTATTTGGACTCCAGTTATGATAAGATAAAGTAATTATCAAAAAAGGGAGAAATAAAGATTACACTGAAGTTTTAGCTATTGATAAAAGAGCACTTGATTTTTTCCGTTGGCTTTCATTTATGTTGTGGATCTTGTTAGTAATCTAGTATCAGACTTTCCTTTCCCTCTGTCTAGTATCCTTGCAAGGTTCCATTAGGAAACAAAATTTTCTCATAAGATGACACATTATTCCTTCTTCTTTTTTCCTTTCTTAGTACCATCAGCAAGTTTCTCTCCATTGCTTCCCACAAAAAGAAGGTGGCTAATAGTAGTTTTCTGGTGGGTTTTGATGAGACCACTTTGTTTCAGCTGATTGAGTGCAGTTCGAGTGTGGATTTAGAAATCTACACTTTGGTATTTGTCAACCAATCTGATTTGGTGGATGATTCAACCTGTCCCTCACATCTCACTTTGTATTGTCAAGTATTATCTAGTGCAAGTCTGCTGATTCATGTTACGATGTTTAATTGATGTTCAAAAAGTAGCCATTATTGCAATATGCCTCCCTAAAATCGAGGGTGAGACTTATAAGAAGGATCCGAGTAAAATGAAAGTCGAGATAAGAAAAGAATCTAAAAATAAAATAAAAATACTGAAGTCATTTATTCCTCTGGAACAGGAACCCGTTGCTTCTATCTGTAGGAAACCCCTGTTATAATGGTAATGTCTCTATTGTTGCGTCATTTGGAACTTCTCAAATCGACCTGCTTTCTACTGTGGTATTGATTTGGGTGGAAGGAACTGGTGTTATGATCAAAACATCTGTAGATAACACATATTTTAACAGTCCAATTATTTTAACGAACCAGTGAAACACTCAACTGATTAAATCTGCGGTCAGTTCCAAGCATTAGGTGACCTTTTGAGCTCTTCAAATTTACTTTGTTGCCTTCATGAATCATAATTAATTGAAAAAATTTAACACCAACGTGTGTCCACAATAAACCCTTTAGCCTGTGATGTTATTTATCTGAGCATTGACTATCTTCCGTTCATAGATCTAATGTTAATTGACTATTATTGTCTCCCTCAATCTCCAGTTTTCCATTTGTGGCTGCAGTGATGTTGGTGATTCTGATGAAGAGGATGGTACAGATTCTTGCTCATGTACAATAATGTAGATATCATCAGTACATCGATTTGTAGATTTCTGCTGGATAAGCTGGTAGGGTATTCACTCCAGCCACAGCATGATAATTGTGTGAGAGGATTGGTTTCCAACTTCTTGTTGTAGGTGAGGCACCTTGCCATCCTTGTCAACACATTTTGGCGCTGCTTGCCGAAGGGAAATTTAAAGAGGGATTTTGGTGGTTTCTTTTGTGGTGAGTTCTCAAACAAGCAGCTTTGAATTGGTGGATCTTCTTCTGGGAAATAAAACAGACAGAAATAAAGATGATCTAGCTCACATGAGATGTCATATGATATCAATTAAAACTGAACATTTTTGCTTTTTGACATATGATTGTATATAAGAGATGAATAACACTCTGACGATTAAAGTTACATTTACTTCACTCTCGTGACCACCCCATCATTCCTAATCCTACATGCCACCTATGTTTTTGCATACTGCTGCGTGTTTACAGGATCAAGTTTCCTGTGATGAACCCAGTGATCATGCATGATGTATGTAATGTGTAGGGATGAGTGGCACTTGTGGTGCTCTATTCCCTTTTAGGTTTCTAGTGTGTTCATGCATGATGCATGTAATGTGTAGGGATGAGTGGCACTTGTGGTGCTCAATTTCCTTTTAGGTTTCAAATGTATTTGGTGTTGTGTTAGTTTTTATGGTTATATTTAAAAAAATAACTTAAAAAAACACTTTTATTGTGTTTTAAAAAAAACCAAATTTAAAGATATATATTTTAATTAAAATTATTGTGAGATTAATTTTTATATGTAAAATAAATAAAATAGATATGCATGAATAAAAAATATATCATTTTAATTTCTATCAAAATAAGGTTTGAAAAGTAATTGTTTGTGAACTGAGTGCAAAAAACAGAAGGTATTTGGTTTTGAGATTCTTTTTTCTTTTGTTGTTGGGAAAAAAACAAAAGCTATAATAAAAATAATACACATGGGATGTTTTATAAATTCATGTTAAAAATAAAAAAAAAAAATTTTTTTAAAATATTTTTAATTATTTTTTTTTTTTTAAAGTATAAGATGTACAACACAAACTAACGACAACTTCGGCAGAACTCGTCATGATTAATTCTTGATATAGACTTGTATGCGCAAACCGAAACATTGGGATCTTGTAGATTAATATAGGAGTATCCTCGACTTGAACAGTTCTTGGAAGTGTTTGTCCATTTTGCCAGTACTGGAAGACAGGTTTCATCGTTAGAACCTTTACAGACCACCACTTCTTGTCTTCTACTACAAACAACACTAGAATGTATTTGGCATGTGCCTCCTTGACCTCTGTATGTCTTTGGATTGACTTGGAAGGTAATCCTCCAGACTCTGATATACTTTAATGATTGTGAAAGTGAGAAACTGAGAATGATGATATTGAAATTGAGCTGTTCAGCTAGTACTGATTCTAAGACAACAGTAAACTGAAAAAAAAGAGGAAAATAAAATAATGATGTCGAGGAACAAGACAGTTAAAGCTCACCTTCTTTACACTCAAAACAACACCAAGAAGAGGATCAAAAAATCAGAAACAGAGACACGATCGCATCATCCCAAATTGTTCCAACACTTGCCCAGCATAGGCTACAGAAAATAACAAGAGCAACCCCCCTGCTGCGTTTCCATGGACAGATTCATCCCAGCCTCATATGAGAACCAACAACCTCTTTTGCTTTCTCGCCTGAGGTAGATTTCCAGGAAATTGGTCTCTAGCTTGGATCCATGTGTTTTTCTTTTTTCTTTTTCTTTTTCTTTTTTTTCTTTTTTTTTGAATTTATCACTACCTTGAAGAGAAAAAAATGGAATTTTCTTAGCAGGTCTCCAAGTTGGCAATGTCTCAAATGTTCGTATCTTCTTTATTTCTCCATGGATATGTACTGTCAAACATGCTTTTCTTTGATGGATTGGTCTCAACATCATTGGATGCAGTTTTCTTCAGGTAAGAATCAGGAGGAACTACCCAGTTTGAGAGGCTAGCATCAACTGCAATTTCTTGCATGAGAGCTGTGGAGTGACCGATATTCGAGAGCGAAGTAAGGGGTGGGTGTTGCTCAGATGCTACATTTTCTTTCCTCTGTTGCTTTGGTGGTTGTGCCCCCTTTGCCTTCACTGCTTTCCACTGACTGAGATTTTCCACTGGTTTCAGCACAGAATGAACATATTGGCGCGATCTCAATCCTCCTTCATTTGAATCACCTAGGGGCTTTATATTTTCAGTTGTCCCCTCTTCTCTCAACCTTGTCAAAAAATTTCTTTTCTGTGAGCTCACAGATAAGGAGCTAAATTGTCCAAATAACTCCTTTTGATTTACTCTCAATTCATCTATATCGCAGCCATTGTTACCATCATCATCTTCTTCGTCGAATTCTTCTTCTTCATCATCCAAATCACTTTCTTCATGTGGTATTTCATACTCTTCATCATAACTGTCAACGCAGTTTCTATATCTATAATTCGATGGATAAGATGCCATTTTGAACGCGGATGAATCCCCTTCAGATAGAGAAGAAGATTGTCTTTCTTTTGCTTCAACTTTGTCAGTCTCTTCCTCATCACTTTCCCAGTAATCATTTCTGCACTCCTCTTTTGGAATTGGCTCATAAGTCTTGACATTCAAATTGAAGCTCACCTTCTTTCTAACCCTATAGTTCAATGACTCCTTAGGTCCTTTGCTGTCAATAAAAAAAAAAAAACACTCACCAAAGAAACCAATCTTGACCGAGCACAAAATAAATACAAAAAGAGAGACCCACAGCACTGAAAAATACAACAGAAAATTAAATGATTGGAGAATATGGTAAAAATTGAGTTACAGGGACTGATGAATTAATGAGCGACCTGAGTTCAGCTTCAGAGGTTATGGAATTTCCTGCTGTGCCAAAATCTGTAGAAACAGAATCTAGAGGTTCATACCTACCAAGTTTCTGCTACATCAAAAATAAAAAAGATGGTAATATGTTTTAATGTAAAAAAAAAAGGGTAATTAAAGAAAAGAAAATTGAAAAGAAGTAAGCATACTTGGTCTCTAGAAGCCGGTTTTCTACGCTTTCTCCTAGAAGACAAGCAGAAACAGCCAAGAAAGCATCCCATCAGCTTGAGAGAAACCTCAAAGGATTCGAGGATGTTGTTAATGGTGAGATGGAGATTGGCTAAAAGTAAAGAGAGAGAAGGAGAAGGAGAAGGAGGCTGTCAAGTGGATTTGAAAACCATTTCGTGCTCCAACGGGTTTTGAAAATATTAGGAACGTTGGCCTTCAATGATTGTAGTTTAGAAGTGGTGGTGGTGGGTCGGGACTAGGTGGACCATGGGCGTGTGAACTGCATGGCTTTACCATTAATAATATTCAAGGGAGCCTGAGACGAGAGAACACATGAAAGCGATGAAGCTACTTTTGTCTTCGCCTAGCGCGCGGTAGAACCAACTTTTTTTTTTTTTTCTTTAATTTTTTTAATATATTAATATCAAAAATTAATTAAAATAATTATTTTAATATATTTTTAAATATAGCCGAAGAATCCATGCGTATTTGCGCCAACCCCATGAAATTTAAATTTTTTTAAGTTTTTATTAATTTTAAATTAATATGTTTTTAGTGTTTTTAAATTATTTTAATATATTAATGTCAAAAATAATTTTTAAAAAATAAAAAATATTATTAATATATATTTTAACATAAAAAACTATGTGAAAAGTGATAACAACATATTTTCAATCATATTCTAAATTTGAAAAGGTTGAAACATTCTGTTTAAATTTTTGCTTCCAAAGGCTCGGTGATTTTACTGTGCAAATAGCAATAAAAACACTAATGCACCCTGTTTTCTAGGCTAATTTTGTTCTATTTATACGGGTAATATTATTATTTTATTATTTTAATTTATAATAACAGTTTTACATTAAAACTAGAAAAAATTGTTGTTGCTTAGTTGCCGTCGGTGGGTCTGTTGTGGGCTAGAGAAGAGAGTGAGACAACTCATAGGAAAGGACAAGGTGGAGATTGGTTATATATTTTGGGTCGAGGTTTGAGTAGATTGGAATGTATCGATTCAATTATTTTTTTAATATAAAAAATATTCAAGCATTAGATTTAGATAATAAAATTAAAATAAATTTATAAAAAATAAATTAAAATAATTATGAAGCCCTCATTTTTAATTAATTTGATATTAAAGATTAAAATAAAAAATAAAAATTCATAAGATTAATATATAATCTAACATAAAAAAGTTATGAATCATAATTTTTAAAATAATCTGAAATTAAAGGATAAAATTAAAAAAATTAAAAAATTATATTTTTAAATAGTAAAACAAGAAAAAACACACGAAATACTATTTTGATAAATAATACCTTGTTGACTTGAGCAAAATGATTTAGCCATATCATTTATTGTTTTATTAATAATATTTAACCTAAAATCAGATATTTTACTTTCAAGTTTTGTCTAAATTTAAATAAATTAAAAATTATCTATTCATTCAAATCAGAGTAAAAACTAGTATTATTGAGTAAACTAGTATCACTGAGTTGAGATATAATTTTTATTTTTAATCACTCAAGATAAAAAACTAGGCATCTCAGAAACCTAATTTAAATTTTGAATTTCTCCTTATTATGTCTAGACATAGATAATTAGTTGCTAAAATGATGTTACTTGGTTTCGCAATTTATTTTTATTTATTTTATTTATCTTATCTTATTTTATCTGGTTATTATTCCGATTGGTTCAAAAAATTTATTTCTAGGATTTATTAATTTGTATTTTCGAGACTCAATTGTAATTAAAATTTACTCGTAAATTCAGGTTCTCCTATGGCCCGCAGCAACGATTGGTAACATGATGTATTAAATTGCAAAAAACGACAAGGTTACACGTCCAAAACCAAAAAAAACCACCACACCAAGTCACAACCGTCCATGCGAATGAAAACAAATCTGGACCCTCCAAACCGCATAACCTCACATTATCATGCTTCCCTCCCTCTCCCTATAACCATAAAACTTCTCTCTCAAAAAGTCGCCACCATAACCAAACCCTCAAAAAAAAAAAAAAAAATTCACCAAAAATGCTCAGAGCCCTCCAAAATTGAAAATCCAAGAAAAACCCTAGTTCAAAGAGAGGGAGTGGGAGGGGGAGGGGCTCATCTATAGCTATATCTACATATCTAAATAATAGTACAGGTAATGGATTCAGATCAGGGAAAGCTATTTATTGGGGGGATTTCATGGGAGACGTCAGAGGAGAAGCTCGGGGAATATTTTACGCAATATGGCGACGTTTTGCAGACTGTCGTTATGAAAGATAAGACTACAGGCAGGCCTAGAGGCTTTGGCTTTGTCGTTTTTGCAGACCCTTCCGTTCTCGATAGGGTTCTTCAAGATACGCACACTATTGATGGTAGAACGGTGAGTTAAAGCTTTTATTCTTTATTATTTTTTATTCTCTAAGGCTTTTTTTGTGCTTTTTCGGCAATATTTTTTTTTCTTCTCGGGTTTGATTTTTTCTGGTTCTTGGTTGTATTGAGATATAGTTATTGCAATTTTGGAGTGTGATATTAGGGTTCTTGAGCTCCTGCTTTATGGTAACAATTTTATTGGGTACGGTGTTACTGGCCGTTGGTTTCAGATTGATTTTGAATTAATTTAGTTGTATTTGCAAATGGGTTTTTTTAATACAGTAGCTGCTTTTGAGTTGCTCAATTGAGTCAATTAAAGGAAATAGAAAATAAAAAAAAACAACTGCGGAGATCATCTTATAGCGATTCTGCCTCTAAGGTTGCATTCCATGTGACAAGAAACAGAGAAACCGACTCCTGTGAATTTTTGAATTGAAAGCTATAGAAAGGCCCTTATGGGTTTTGAACACCCTGTGTCTTCTTTGAATCAGTTTCGCATATTGAATTTGCACTAGTTTTATCGACATTATAGATGTAGTAGAGCTTGATTTGTCTTATGATAAATTATAGAAATGTTAATCAACGGCAATAAGCCTATTTCCATATATGATCCCATCTCTGGATTGGTGTTCTCGCATGATAATTCTTTTTTCAGGCGAGTTAAACCTATAGACTCCGCAGTTCAGACACTGGTAGTGAGTCCATGTGATATATTGCAGTGGTATTCAATGGGGTGGGTATGTGCCTTTTAATGCTGTTGAATAGGACATGCAAATCAAAATTGCACGTATTTAGCTAATTTACTGAATAACTCAATATATTACTACAGCTTCTTGTTATTAGGTAGCTTTTCAGTGAGTACAAATTGTTTGAAGTGGTGTTATTTGTGCTTGTGGTTACTTGTTTCTAATTGCTCAACTATAGAGGTTTGTCAAAGAAGCTATTCATATTTATTTAGTGGGGTTTGAATTTTATTTTTGTATTGCACTGTACCAGGATTTGACAAGCTAGCGCACCAGGTATACTGATTTATGTGAACAGTTTTGTGTCAAGATTGTGACCTTATGTTGATGTGGAGATTGTGACACCAACCCACGTATCCTTAAAGATCGGATCTTTGACAAATCAATTTGTCTTATAACATGAGTTTATGCATATAGACTACACCTTTGTGAGAGTTGTTTATTTCTTTAGTGATTACTAGGCTTGTCATACATGAAGAATTTACTTATACAAGTTTTAGAGGACTGTAATCAGATAAGATATCTTGGGAATTCTGCATGATGAACGAGTTTCCTGCTTTCAATTTTTATTCCTGCCTTCCAACCAGTTGCTTTGGTTATCAGGTTGAGGCAAAGAGGGCATTATCAAGAGAGGAGCAGCAAACGAATGCCAGGGCTGGAAACTTGAATCCTGCTAGAAACACCAGCAGTGGTGGAAATATTCGGACCAAAAAGATATTTGTTGGAGGATTGCCTCCTACTCTAACTGACGATGGGTTTCGCCAGTATTTTGAAGCCTTTGGCCTTGTAACTGATGTAGTAATAATGTACGACCAGAGCACCCAGCGACCTCGTGGATTTGGTTTTATTTCCTTTGATTCTGAAGATGCAGTTGACCGGGTGTTACAGAGAACATTCCACGATTTGAATGGTAAGCAAGTTGAAGTAAAACGAGCTCTTCCTAAAGAGGCCAATCCTGGTGGGGGTGGCCGCTCTATGGGTGGCAGTTACCAGAGCTACGGTGGATCTGGTGGCAACACAAACTCATATGATGGTCGAATGGATTCAAATAGGTATATGCAGCCTCAAGGCACTGGAGGTGGTTTTCCTCCTTATGGGTCATCTGGCTATAATGCAGCTGGATATGGATATGGTCCTGCCAGTAATGGTGTTGGTTATGGTGGCTATAGCAGCTATACTGGAGCTGGTGCTGGTTATGGGGGACCTGCTGGTGCGGTCTATGGGAATCCTAATGTTCCAAATCCTGGCTATGCAAGCGGTCCTCCTGGGGCACCCAGAAGTTCATGGAACAGTCAAGGTTCATCTGGCTATAGTGCTATGGGTTATGGGAGTGCTGCTTCTTGGGGTGCTTCAAGTGCTGGTGCTGGCAGTGGTCCTGGTTCAGCATCTGCTGGTCAATCTCCTGGTGGAGCCACTGGGTATGGGAATCAAGGTTATGGGTACGGTAGTTATGGTGGAAATGATGGATCTTATGTGAATCCAGTTGGGTATGGTGCTGTTGGAGGACGTTCTGGGGGTGCTTCAAACAGTAATGCTGGTGGTCCCGGCGGGGCAGAACTACAGGGTAGTGGCGGCGGCGGCGGCTACATGGGGAGTGGATATGGTGATGCAAATGGAAATTCTGGGTATGGAAATGCATCATGGAGATCAGAGCAACCACAAACTTCTGGAAATTATGGGGGTCCTCAAGCAAATGGTCCTGGTGGTTATGGTGGTAGTTATGGCGGTTCTCAGGCCCGACAAACCCAACAACAGTGATTGTGAACACCTTAGTTGCCTGCCAAGTCTTCATCTCTGTTTGTGAGCGAGCATGTCCAGCTGTTCTCATGAGGTTCTCTGAAGATTTCTTGCTCCCAGCACCAGGAGAGTGGCTCAAATTGGATGATGCACTTTGGGAATGGTTGGGTTGCTTAAATCCCAGTAGTTTGCACTATCTGTTTTGCTAGTCTTTAATAATTAGTTCAAGGCGTGCTAGATGCTCAAGGCATACTAGATGCCCTTCTTATTTAATGTTTGCTTATTGAGTGTAGTTCTTAATTCGGCGTGCTTACAATTATCTGCTAGATGTTCTGGAACTTTTCAGCTCTCTATCGTAGTGTTTAATCTACTGCGCATATAATATCTGTGTTGTTTGGTTTCGGCTGTATTATTTTATTGTGTCTTTAATATTGGGCACCTTTTGATCTGTTTTTGACTGAGAACAAAATGCTAGAAGCGAATTCTAGAACTTGATATGCTTACTTTAACTTGAAAAGTAGGCTTACAGAGATTGAATCAAGAGTTTTTAACTGATAGCAGTGGAGCTATAAGCACTTCGTTGATAGCTTCGTAAATGGATAGCGTTAATCATAGTGGTAGTTGACACCTTGAAGATGACATAATCATTTCCCCCCTGTATTTGCCCTTGTGTTGTACAGGAGGAGATGCTCGAGTTCTAAGGTGAGGTGAAAGGGTCCACTCATGGCTGAACCCGAGCTTCCTAGTGGGGGTTTGTTCAGCATGGAAGTGTGAAGAGGACTTGTCAGTTGGATTTGTGATTAACCCAAGAAAAGCTTTTCCGGCTAGCAATGCCAACACTGCCACATGTTTTGTTTTTGCAGATTCTTGGCATTTGAAGTCGTAAATTTCTCAATCATTCTGGTTTCTTGTGGACTGATGGATTTGTTAGACAGGGAGCTTCGGTATGTTGACTTAATTGGTTAGCTGTGTTACATGGCAAGTTCCTATTACCCAATTGTTTAGGCTACATAGTTATGCGCTGGACTAGATAATGTGTCATTCCAGTTGCTTAGAGCACCAGATAAGTTATCAATCGAAAACTTTAGTTGATCTTGGAATGTCGTTGATGGCTTCATTACATTTTATGTCAACTTATCTTTTGTGGGATACAGGATAAATATGCTAATGGTGTTGCTTGTCTAATTTAATGCATTTTTCTACTACTGATTACGAGTCTTGTGATGTTTTAATCTCTTTCAAGAGTTGCCACGACCCATGATTTTCTTCTCCAGTGGTTGGATGTACTTGTCTGTTTTATAATTAGGTGGAAAATTCCCTGTTTGATTCCAAAAATTTGTATTATGGGGCTGGATACTCCCTTTTGAGTCTGCCTTTTCTGAGCTGCATCGCGTCTATATGTCGGTTGGTTAGAAAAATGTTGGTCAGGCGTTTCTAATTGGGCAAGGCGCATGCTTCACACTATATTTGCTAATACGTAGCGGGTAGGATGTTGTGCCCCTTAAGTTTTACAGTTCAACTAGTAGCAACATGTACATTTCGAGTTGAATGTACTGAAGTGATAGCAAAACGGTGGGTTAGTGATTCTGTAAAGCGCGAGGACATTAAGAACATGTTTATTGCCCTCCTGTTTTTGTTTTTTCTACCCTTTGTGCTTGTGTTTCCAGCCTTGATGTCCAATATTTGATTGTGGAGGGACAAAATTTTTATAGATACCTTTTGATTTGTGTTCTTAGAAAGTAAATACCATGTTTTCCTGTCTTATGAGAAAGCAGTTTACTTCTCATTTCATACAGAATCCGAATTCTCAGTGCCATGAATTTGGAACCACGTCTACCTGCAAGGCTGCAATTTTACAATCATGATTGTCTTAAAATTTTTTATCACAATGATGCGAAACCAGTGCCCCAATCTTGTAGTTGTAATGTCTTAATTTTCCATTATATCCTTCGTGTTTTGAAACAAGCTTCTATGACTCTAGTCTGGATCATCACCATTGTTAACGACCCCTCTATTACATTTTCATGTGGCGGATCATTTGTCTGCCATTTTTGTTTCTTGAGATGCTCTTCTCAACAAGAAAAATCATCTCTATTTGATGATCAGAAACACAAAAGAAAATATCCCACCATAGCTTGCGAAGAACTGAAAATTCATGCAATTGCTCTTTACCTCTTATTCTCGAAGAATTGTTTTCTCCAGATTCTCATGGTGCGCTGGAAATGACTTCCTATAACTATTACATTTTTTTTTTCGCATGATGGTCAATGGCCACTATGAGCTAGAGGATCCACTGATTATAAATTGAATTTGATAATGGTATTTTGGTATAAACATGAAATTTTTTATGACAGAAAAACAATGTAGTTATATTTTAGACATTAAAGGGTTTTATCAAATTTTTATGTTTTATTTTCAATCTCAAAATAATAACAAAAATTCTCCAGTCACTAAGATTCATAGTTAACAGATGAGAAATTGCGTAATGTTGCAGGCCAGCACCAATCAGCAATCATACACTAATCATCATATATCTTGAACAGTAATTCTGCTAGTTGTCAAGGCAAGCTAGCCTGTTGAAATGTATTTGCCAAGGATAGAACCCACCATCCTGAATGGAATTATTATTCAAAAATGAAGTAAATGGAGCAACTGTAGAACTTAATTTCAAGGGAGATCTTTGGATTTGGCTGCAAGATTCAATTAGCAGCAAATAATATACTTTTAGCTCTCTGACAACACAACAGACGATCGAAGTTAACTAAATAAAGAAAAACAGGAAAACGAAGAAATCAATACCTGGACTGGCTTCAGCGTGATGGAGCTATCTTCCTTCACAGAAAAGAATCAATACGCTGAAGGAAAACTTTTGTATGGATTGCTTAGTGCAACAACATTGCCAGGACGTGAAAATACAACCTACATTACAGAGGAAATCAAATTTCTTTGCTTATAAGCTGAAGGGGCAGAATTTTACTAAAGCCATATGTAGTTTCGGATTAAACAAATCATGACATAAAACACATCATCAGCACGTAGCTACTATCAACTATATATTCTGCGAGTAGTCACGTCATAAATATTACCGAGATTTTACTGATCACACTCGAATTTTCTAATACAAGCTAAGCATATATTTTGATTTATCTATATGATTTTGACCAAATATCCATTTTTCTGTATGCTGATAGTTAGTATAGGCATGATCCAAAGAAGTTTAATGAGAAGTTGATTGATAGTTACAAAAATCATATTATAGCTTCGAATCACAATATTGCAATCTTGAGATTTACCTGGTAATTTCCAAGTGTATGTGTCTTGAAACCAGCTGCACTATAGTCAAAATAATACTCCCATGTTCGGATGAACTTCTCATTGAATCCCAGGGCAAGAATTTTTCTACAGAGAAAATCAATGCACCAACATAAATAGTCTGATCAATGAGGTAGTGGCGAGCAAACGCTAATTTTGATTCTGCACAAACTTTAGATGCATCCTACTACATGAACGTGTCTGTAAGGGAATCCATTCATCATACTGAAAATCAATTAAACTACTAAATTACCAGAATGAACGGCATGTGACTTGTAGCAGATTCTCAATAATTATTGGTATGAAGGATTCTCTAATAATGCAACTAAGAATTTTTTACATTACAATCACATAGAATATTTTTCATTTTCTGAAAATAGGAAAAGCAATTCATTATTTCTTAAAGCCAACTATGTTCTTTTCTTTGGCACGTGGATCAGGATCATGTCAAGCATTATTCATGCTAACTCTGTTGTAATTAAAGATTACTGCCTAGCAGGTAGCAGTGAATTCGAAAATGTAATATAATCAACGCAGTGTAAAAAATATTCCTTAAAATGGTTCATATATCACGTCATGTTTTTAAATTAATAACATGTATAATTATATATTTATTTTGTATAAGATTCATCAGTGATAATTGAAGGCGTAAAAGTGGTAGGCTAGGCATATCCATGATGGATGGAGATGCAAAAATTAGGTTAAAAAGGGATCCTAATCAAGCCATATAAATATTATGAAAAAACTTGTGTCTTCCATCAACATATAAAAAACCTAAAGTTTGGCATAAACTAGAAGGTTCTTTCTTCCTGGCAGAACATGGTGAAGCTGACACCATAAGTTGCAAAATAATCTGAAAAATTCTGAAGTGACTTTTACCTCTGCTTCTCCAGGAAGTTCTTTCTCCAATATTTAAGTGTCTGATAGTAATGAATTCCAATATTTTCCACATGCTCCACGCTGTGCAAACACAAACTTAAGTTCATTGTGCAGAAAAGTAATTTGAAGAAAGAACAATGGCATCAGCAGTAAAATTCAGCTAAAACTGACGGCTCTTACCACAGTCTCGATGAGGTGGCCATGGCTGATGTTATTCTTGTTAATGAAGGCAAGCATCCACCAGGAAAAATATATTCCTTAATAAAATCTGAGCTTTGCCTATACTCATCATATCTTTCTTCTGGTATTGATATGAACTACAAAAAAATGTTTGGAAACAGTCAGCCCCCTCAGTGTTGAGTAAAATGTAGAATAATGTGCATGGCCCAAACTGCTAAAGAACCTGACAATTAAGCACTAACTTCTACGATCGCTCCCATTACCTTACAATTCAAAGGGGAAGAAATGAGCAAAAAAATATAAAAATTCCAATATTTTCATTACCTGTAGGACAAGAAGCCCATTTTCTGCTAATACTGATTCGCAGCAGCCAAAAAACTCTTCCATGTATTCATGGCCGACGGCTTCTATCATTTCACTGGACAAGCGAAAGATGAGAGCCATTAAAGTGATAGTATTAGGACAACATTCTAAGATCAGAAAGTAATATTTCGGTGAGAGAACTCACCAGGATATTATTCTGTCGTATTTGTGGGTCTTGGGCAATTGGCGATAGTCACAGAGGTGAAATGCTATACGGTCCTGGTAACATGGTTCATGTTAAAAACAAGTTACTTGATTTCAGAAACAACCATGTTATGCTTCAGTACAAAGCAAAAGAAATCCACTCTAGAAAACCTTGTCTCCATGACTGGTTTTTTTTTTTTTTTTTAAATGAGACATTGCCAACTTTTTCCTTGCTTACTTGCTATATAATACAATCTCTAATTATGTTTGAAAGCTTTAACATCCATATGCATGTGAAAACTGCGAGAGGAAAAAGGGCCACCGACCAAAGAATAGAAAAAAGCAGGAAAATTAGGGCGATATCAGAATTGCAATTGTCCTTCAAATTTCCAGTTCATACCTGGAGGCCAGCTTCCTTCACCTTCATTTCTGCATGTTTTAGTTGTTCTTCAGATAGTGTGATGCCAGTGTATTTACATCCAGTTCGTTGGACAGCTTCAATGGCCAAGGTTCCCCACCCACAACCAATCTCGAGAATTTCATGATCTTTACTGATTCCAGCCTAGATTGTTCAGGTGTGAGAACATAAAAGTTGACATGAGTATCAAGCAAACTTGGTCAAACTGTAAAAAATTAGCTAAGTGATAGGCTCACCTTTTCGATTAGAAGGGATATTTTTCTCATTTGAGCATCTTTCAAATCCTCGTCTTCTGTCTTTAAACAAAACACATAAAAATAAACACATCATCAGACAAACATATCATGCCAGGGATTAGATTATTGTTTTTCATGCATTATTTTAAATGAAATAAGAAATAGGCTGGGATTCCAACCTTAAATACTCCACAGGAGTACGTCATTGTTTCATCCAAGAACAGTGCAAAAAGCTCATTACTCTGGAGACGCAGCCACAAAAGGGATGTGAGCCTCTAGTATCACAAATAATTACACTTTTGACAACAAAAAAGTTCCAAGACCAAAACAGAAGTAAATTTCTGGACAAATAGTGAAATCAACAACCTCTCACAATACTATGATATGGGAAAAAAAACTAACGAGGTCACTAGTTTAGAAGTTTGAAACTGTAACACCATGAATATTATTAGAGAGTAAAAGCAGACTGTAACACCGTGAATATTATTAGAGAGTAAAAGCAGCACTATCTCTTTCTTCCTTCAACAAGGTTCAAAATGAATCTTAGAAACTAAGACTTTTGACAATGCTTCCATGTTACACATCCTGATTAATACGAATGCTTTGGCAAGTCCATTGCATTGCATGTTCACATGTATAAGATCACAAAGAATCTTAGAAGTTATTCATTAGCTTTTCTTTTTATTTGAATATTTTCATTAGTTTTTCTCCCTCTTCTTTTTAGATATCGCCAAAATACACTGATGGGTTGAGGAATTGGCTTAAAGGCATAGTGAGAATGACAATGAAAGAAATGTTAGGCCTACTGATGCGGAACAATGAGCAAAAAGAAGTCTTCCAACCAAAGAGTGATAGGCTGGGCTATTCTATGTCGTTTCCGTTTATATACTTGTGTAATCTACGGTGTGGGTTTGGTGTCCCCACCACCTACACCCTAAAAGGCTATATTTTTAGCTAGATCTGATAATTTAATATGGTATAGAACTAAAACCATCTTAATGAAATGGTTTGGTGTTCAAATCTTGGCACCCTCATCTTCATCTCCAAAATTAAATAGTTTTTCCATAAGCTTGCTAGCAGCCGTGGCCTATTTTCTTTTCCTTCCATTACGCATACAAGTAAGGACATTATAAAAAAGTTCAACATGGCATAGAAAGAGATGTTTAAACATAATGTAAGGCCACTGGGAAAACTGAATTTTTTTGAATCAGTGTCAGTATAACAATCTCATACCAGGTCATAATGACGAGAGATATTTCTGCGAGCTTGAGTAAGAGTATTTTGCCTTGATACATGCTGAATGAAAAATTTTGCAGATGCAATACCGGCTGTGAATAATAATGGTGTCCACCAGCCCCTGAAACCAACAGGGTGAGAATACTTAATGAAACAAAGTAACAAGAATATCAATCTCTTGTAATATCATATTTTCAGAGCTACCAGTCATAGCATACCTTTTCTTGTTCAGCTTTGATGCAGATTTATTAACATCTCTATTTACAATGAGAATCTGCAATACAAATTAGTAAAGAAAGTTCTTTGAAATTCAAGCCAAAAGAGATAGCTTAGATCAGTCATCTCACCATGAGAAGGTTTAGAAGGCCTTCATCTTTGTTAACAAAGGAAAAATCACCATTGATATATGCATCTGCAAGGCCTAAATCAGCCTGTGTCATTATCTGAGAAAAATTTCTTGAGCACATTAGTTGCAGTAACAATTTTGAATTAGGCTTTTAAATTATTCTAAATAATAATAATAAAAAAAAACACTTATGTTTGTAGCATATCAATTCAGTTTAGTTTTTTCCTCTTGATTATTTTGAACTCAAGGTGGAATGTGACTTGCTTGGAAGTGAACTACAATGGCGTGCATACCTTCCAGTAAAACTGGGGATTGTGAACCTTCAAAACAGTTTTCAGTGAACATTTTTTTGAAGTTCCCTCAAAGGAGAAAACTGTGCCTCCTTCCTCCAGCAAACTGTCAAATCACCATATATTGATTGAGAAAGAGAGGATAATCTAGTATGGACTATCAATATCAATAAGATTCAAGACGAAAAAACAAGCTTATAGAAGAAATGAGAATGAAGTAAAAAGATTTGGACAAATGACAAAGATAGCAATGTTGCGACAGGAGATTATGCAATGAAAAGTGGTGTTAGACTGGTAGACAATAGAGGAGGTAAACTGCAGAAAGCCCACATTATGCATGCTTGATTTCGTAACATCAAAATGCTAGAAAGAAAAGATAATAAAAAGGGATAGCAATTATTTTTATAAGTGAACTCACATTAAACAGCCAGTGGAGATATAATGTCCAAGAAATCTAGTAACAAAAAGGCGTGCCCCAGTTTCTAACATAGAAGGTGCCATATGTTTTGGATTGCTCAGAATGGCACATCTGTTTCCAAGCAAACCGTGTGCAGCAACCATGCCTGACTGCAAAGTGTAATAGAAACACAGAATTTCATTTTCTTTTATCGGAACCAATACAAAGAAATGTTATATCTAACTTGTCAGCGGCAGAACACCAACTTTATGAGTTCAAGAAAAGAAGATATGAATGAGCTTCATGGGTTCATGAAAAGAAGAGAACAACTTATCAGCGCATGATTCCTTTGTGCCCTAGAACTAGAAACATTTTATAGCTTCCCAGCAAAAAGACACGTGGAAACTGATAAAAAATAGAACACAAAGGAATTTTCTTTTCACTACAAACATAGGTGTCAGAATAGAGGTTGTCTCTACTTAATATTAAGCAGCTTAAGAGGCACCTATGCCTACCTTTAGTCCATCTTCATGGAAGCCATAACCTGAAAATACAACACGGAATGCTTTGTTGATCAGCAAGTATCAAAATAGTCCAGGCACCTAAAATATGAAAAGTGGCAATATCTCTTAAGGCTGAGCAATAACAATAATAATAAAAAAAAGAACTATCATGGAAACTTAAAAGGAACTTGTCCCCTGCTTGTGTTGAAAAACACGAAAAAATAAAGTGCAGTACATATGCTCATCTTCCCACATCAAATAAGAAACTGGCATGAGAAGTTTGTAAAAAAATTAATGTTAGCAGAACCTCTCGTAGTTGATTAAAGAATTTTCGAAATTATCTTAGGTTGTCAATAATTGTCATAGTCTTCAACATTCTATATTATACCCAAACAGTGTTTCATTTCTATGTTTTTTTTTTTTTTTTTTAATCTGTATTGCCCTAAATGAAATCATGGTGGGCATTGTGAATGCAGCTTGCAAGGAAAAAAAAAACTACAGAGCATAGATAAATGTATCAGAATAAGCAAACATTGTATCTATTCTAGTGTCCTTTCTTCTTTACAAACGAAAGACTTACCCTGGTATGCTCCACAAAACCAAATTCTCCTCTTGCCTTGAATATGATCAAGCTCAAGCGAAGCTTTTGTTGCAGCTACAGATGGAACAGGATGGCCAGTTGACCACTTGACCAAGGTATGATCTGGAACATGATCTGGATTGAGTGTCACAAGAAAAGGTAGGCCTGTTTCATCAATATTCTGCAGAAAAATACAATATTTAAACAATAGAATTAGATAGAGGGATATTGGGCTCATTACTTATTCTTTTGAAAGTTGACAGATAAATTCTGAGACTCAATTACAAACAAACCTGAAGCACATTCAGCCAATATGTCAGGCAGACTTTATTGTCAGTACTTCCTAAGAAATTCCATGCACTCCATGCTGCTGAGTTTTGGGGCATAAACTTTTTATCACGGTGAAGGAAAATATCGCTGCCAATAGAAATAGTAGAATGATTGCAAATCTTGAGCGAATGAACTAAACGAGTTTACAGTGACATCAACTTTTCAACAGTTTGTTTTTGTTAAACTTCTCAAAAGAAGGACTACCAAAGGACTACCGATAGAAATAGTCCTGATTTTATAATTCTTGCACAGGTTCATCGGAAAGGATGCTGCAAATTTTTAAGATTCAAAAATTTATGGCAATTTAATAAATGAAGGGAAAAAAAATTCTCTTTTATTTGAATACTGTGTTACTTGGTTCAAATCTTCAACTGTCAGAAAGTGGTATCTCAAACTTGATAAGTAATTGTCCTGTAAAGTGTGGTGCAAATGTACTTAATTGCCAAAAGTTGAAGCTGATGATGTTTCTTACAAAGATGTCAGCTACGGCAGAAAAATAAATGAAAAGTGAAAGAAAATAAAAATAATTACCTATACATATATTGGAAAGCACCAAGTATTCTCGTCTCATCAAATGTCGCTTGCTTTCCTAATAATGCCAGAGCATCTGGGGCATGGACAGCCATTATGCACCCACTGTACATTTCTAGCAAGCCATCTCTACAGAGAACTGCGCAACCTGCTAAAATACTTCTCATGTTACCATTAGAATTACTGGAGCTAAGTATTATTCATCAATCATCAAGGAATTTTCTGTAGATTATTTTCCTTTTTTCTTATTAACTTTATTCAAGTTTTTCTTTGCTTTTGCAGAAGTTGTAGATTTCAATGAACTTCTGATTTTAAAACACGTCACATCTTCAAACATAATCATCGTCAACTCTTATGTTATACAGCATTTACTGCCTCAAATTTCCTAGTATATTAATGTTACAGCTTACCTTCGTCTTTAGTTGAAACAGCCTGTATCTCACAACCCGTTCGTATCTGGCAACCCCAACTTTCCAGCTTTTCTCTGACCTGATTGTTTTACCACGTTGTTGAACGAAATTAAACACAAGAAGAATGCCGTTTCAGCTCAACACTAGAGACATTAATTAAAACAATGACTATTCAGATAATGTTAAGAAAGAAATATGGTGTAGTCCCGTGAAAGCAACAAGTGAGCACCTTGTTGACATAAGAATGCGATCGCCGTGTGACAGTGAGCCACTGAGGCCGACCAAAGAGCTGCAGAGTACCAAGCCATAATCAATGAAAAATCTAATATATCTGTTTGCCTAGAACTCCAAAAGCAGACAAAAGCAAATGGTTTGCTTATGTAATGCCAAAGGACCTTTGTTCAATGTTGCATATAGAAATGGCTAAATGGCAAAGATGAGCGATTCACTTTAACAATGTGTGCACATATCAGCATCATGTATTGGTTGAATATATGCATTCTACCTATTTCAGAAAACAAAAAACACTTACCTCAAGTAAATGATGATTACGGCAAAATGAAAGTACAGAGAAAGCTGAAAAGCTCATGACTCCTTCTGAAGGGCAGGACCATATAGAACCACATACGGGAATCTAAAATATGCAACGTTATTGGTGTCATGAAGTAAGTAAGGCGACCAAAAGTAGAACCTAATTAGAAGGTTGAAAAAATGGGACAGGATATATGTTCTAGAGATCTCACAAGATAAGCCTTCTGAAATAATTCAGAGTAACCTCGTGACTTGACAAATTTCCCTAAGGTCTCATTCCTATCAACATCTGGATTGTTCTCAAGCATCTCAAGATAACTGCAGCAGAAAAGAAAAGAAAATTAGTTGCCATTCCCATTCGGAAGACATTAAAATTACAGCGAGTTGTTAATTAGCGCCTTAAAAGGCTAGTTTATGAACAGAATCAAATTCTCAAGTCAGAGCTCATGAAACCACAAACTGCCTGCCTCCTATATGCCCATACAAGAAATAACACTAGAAGATTAAAAGCCAGATAAGTCCTTGAAGGTATTTGCCATGATTCCTGCCAAATGCATTTTCAGCTAAGCCTTGAATGATGAACTCAAGGTCATGGGGCGTGTTTTTGCACCACAGAATCAAATTGACTGCTTCTTTTGCTAATGTGAGGTTTGCATTAGAAAGAAAAACTTGAAGGTACAATAACATGTGAGGCAAAATTAATTAAATGGAATGGCTACTGCACATCCTAAATACTTATTAACAAAACTCCAAGTAAGTTCGATGTCAGCAGCTAATGTTCAGCTCCAAAATACAAGAAACACATGCGGTATAAGTTTAATGTCCTAATGCACATTGTACAAAATATCTGAAAAGAGAATGGCTCACCTGAGCACATCATCCTTAAACTTGATAATTTCTCGAAGCATTTTCCAAAAGTACGGACTTAACATATTCTTCTTCTGTGCAAACAAGCCTGACAACCCATTTCTGCTACCCCATTCACAACCCTGGCCTTCGTCTAAGCTCACTGAGAATGACATATCCGATAACTCCATATCTATTCCAAGGCTCTCGAAGAACTCCATCATATTTGGATATGTTACCTGTTTATGATGTCGATGCTCTCCAAGTCAATTAACCCTACTCATTGAGTGTAGCAAAAACTACTACATTGCTTACATAAAAAATAAACGTTCTTCAATTGTCATAAGCTATCAGGCCAAATCAATAATCTTTGGTTACCTAGGACCACATAGTAACTTTAAGAAACAATATCAAGTATGATGCATGTGAGTAAACTAGTTTTTGCTCACACTTGAACCACTAAACCACTAAAATGGGTAAAAGCTATCAGCCATTGCTATAGATGGCGGGCACGCTTTCTTACAATATCTGCAGGCAATTTGGGAACCAGAGCAGTAGAGCACTAGCAATTCAAGATAAACCAGAGACCAGTGTAGTTAATTTTCTCCATAAATAGATAAAAATGAGCTTGTAACATTCATCTTCATACCAATCATGTCTTTCAACTTATTAATTTTATTTTAGCTTTATGTTTTATTTTCACTTTACTTGCAGCTTTATTCGCTTATTTTTCTTTACTCCATGTTATCAACCTCATAACGTTGTTAGATTTCTCTATCTAAAAGTCCATACTAGTTTTCTTAGTTTTACGATCAAAAGTCTTACTTATCTTTCTGTTTTATCCTTAAAATCCATCAGCTTAACAGGCAGTAGTTGACTCCTCATAAATTTACATAAAAATTGAATTGGCATGTTAGGCGGGACAATTGCCATGCTATTATGATTCGATCCATGTACGCTTGAGTTTTGTCTTCAATTATCAAACCATCCAGAATTTTTTGTCCACCTTAACACTTTTAGCCATTCCCATCGAAACCTTGGGATACATGGTGCAAGCCTTAAGCTTAGCCAAGCACATTAACTTTTTGAAGCGTCAAACGATCAACTTTTATGCAGGCAACAACAATGGCAAGGGAAAGTTCAAGGTATGTCCTGCATCTAGACTATTCATCAAATGCCATGAATTTGATATTTCAATGCAATATGGTTAATGTCCACCACTCCCTTCAAAACATGCAAGAGTAAAATCAGACACCGGCAACTTGTGCCAGTTGACCGAACAAGATTCGTATTTGGTGAACAAAATTAATTATGGAAACCCATTTAAATTTTCGGATGAATTTTAACAGTTTCGAAAGTTTATCTTGAATAAGTTCTTTTCTTACTCTTTTTTTTCAGTATCTTCTTATAAAGCAATGACCAATCATCTCCCAAAAAAATGTCATGGACACTTAAACTTACTTGTTTATTTATTTATTTTTGTTTTTAACGTCGTGAAACATAAAAAAAATTAAGCCATAAGCAAATAATTCATTTATGCTAGTAAATTCTTTCCATCAAGAACAAAATAACCAATTGAAAATATTATTCTTTGTATCTCTTTGTCTGTATCGAATTTTCGTTTTTACCCCCCCCCCCCCGGGCCCAAAAATAAATAAATAAATAAATAATAGATGTAGCTATCTTAATCCGACAAGTACCAATAATGATTGGATTCATTTATTTCCATTTTTAACGTGATAATCACGAGAACATTCATCAATCCATACCTTAGCGAAAAGGGGAAGAGAGATCAGAGAGAGAGAGTTTTAAAGAAGAAAGAAAAATAGATTAGAAGATGTGACTGACCCGATTGAAGACCATGAAGCCGAGGTCTAAATCAACACCATCGAAGCTGACAGTCTTGGCATGGCCGCCTAAGTAATTCTCTTTCTCGTATAGCACAACCTCAACTCCAGCTTTTGCAAGAACATAAGCTGAAACTAGTCCACTAATCCCAGCACCAACCACTGCTACTCTCATTTTTGACGTTACTCTATTCCTGCATTGGTTACATTTTCACAAATCTTTGAAGTCTCGAAAGAAAAGGACATCGAAGAGATCTCAAGAAGCTTGATAATATCTGGACAACTCGTGAATAAATAAACATACACACGTTTTATCAGATACCAAACTGTGATTGTTTATTGAACATCCACGATACAGAGAATATTTGCCCAAAATATTCCCTTGTATACAAATCAGAAATAAACATTTACCTGTAATGGAAAATTTTTCTGTATTACATTATCTCTCTTGATATAGCAACGAGTATCTCCTCCAAGCTTGGATTAGAACTAAAGCCACCATTGGTTCCCATAGTTCGTCTTTTTTTCATGGCCAGTAATATTGCTCTAATCTTATAGTCGCACACACGGAGCATACACTAGAGAAGGAGAGGGCAGTAATAAGAGAAGAGTGATCGAGCTTAATTACCTCTGCAAAATGTTATCAGGATGCGTGAGTATGGTCCGAACCAACAATTGGCCTTCCCGTGAAAGCTAGTATAGCTTCACGTTCCACCTACCGCAACTCTCAAAAGCTTCTCTGCCTTCAAGCCAGAGACGTCTAAGCAGGTAAGTCTGGCTAAAGTAGGGTCTCTCTCTCTCTCTCCCCTTCGATGAATGTGGCAGAAGAGTTAATTGGATAAGCGACTCTTGCGTTTCGATACTGTTACTGAAAAGTTCTCAGCTGTAAATACATAATTTCAAATCCTTAAAAACTTATTTGAAAAGATCGCGTGGTATTCAGTTTTCCATCGTTTTAGGCTTGGCTCACGTACGCGGTAACAACCTCCCTGTGATTAAAATGTTTTTTTTTTAAATATATATATTTAATTTAAAAAAAAAATTATTTTTTTATTAACATATTAAAAATATATATATATATATATATAAATTTTTTTTATTTTTTTATTAACATATTAAAAAGATTTTAAATTTTAAATTGTATTTTCAAACGAGTTCTTTTAAATTGCGGTAGCTTTGTTTGTTATATTTTTTAAAATATATCCAATCAATATTTTTTTTATAAATTTTAAAAATGGCAAAGGTGTGAGTGAAGTGTTTAAAACTTGGTCTACAGTGTATTTAGTTTAAGTACATCCGTGGAAATGTCAAAAAATACTAAAAAAATAATTTTATTTAAAAAATAATTAAATTTTAAACAAATAATACTTCAACTATAATATTAAATACACGAATATCACGAATATTTTTTTAAAAAAAAACTTAAATATATTTGAAGAGTATGTCGTAATTATATTCTAAATAATAAGTGGATATTAGTTATTATTGTGTTTCGGATCTGAGTAATTTTATATAATGAAAAATAAACATAATTTTAACAATATAATCGAGAGATAATTATCGAAAATATCTTCTCCTTCCAGGAGGATGTAATATCATTTTATATAATTTTCTAAAAATAACAAATTAAATCATACTTTCCATGACCACTCTCATCTTTCTTTGAGTAACTTATAAATTCACCCCTCTGGTCTTAAAAACGAATTAAATAATCCTTTAATATTAAAAACTAATTGAGTAGTTTATTAAAAGTATTTTGTTCTTGGAAACTCCTCCTTTTCTCACATATGTTTCCATATAATCGATTCCTTTTCTTTTCCTCCTCTACCTCTTAGAACAGAAAAAAAAAATCGAACGAGGTGAAAAGGAGCATGAAATGGATTAAAGGATTAAGTTGTAAATACATTTAAAATATAAGGATTAAATATATATTTTGCAAAACCAAGAGTTGGCTATTATAAACCCAAGTTATAATTAGTGTTTTTTATTTAAAAAACATCAACGTTTCGAAACGTTTCCTTGTAGAAATTAAAAAGCCAGTTGTGCGGTGCCCGTCCTTCATTTTGTACGGCCCACAATGGACCACGTGATCGTGAATCCAGTGGCGAGGAAGCAGCGAGAACTTGTGGATCTCTGGCAGTCTTGGGGAATCTAACAGTGCACATCTTGGCTGCAAGTTGCCGTATCTTCTGACGATTCTGAGAAAGTTTTTCCAACACCGCCTTTTGGCCTCATCTTGGCGAGCCAAGGATGTCCTCGTTGTCAGGGGAGAAGTAAGAAAACAGTGTCAGGAAAGTTTGGGATGTAACAAATGAAAACATTATTTATTTTTAAGGTGTTTGTTGTCCTATGTACAGATAACATCGGATTATACCTCTATAATATAACTAAATTTTTTAAATTTTTAAAAAATAAAAAGGTAAAATTAAAAAAAATATTTATATTTTATTATATATTTTTATAATAACATGTTTTTATAAAAGTAAATATAATAATAAAAAAATATAATTATTTATCAAATAACATAATTGTTAATAAACTAATAATATAACCATTAATAAAAAAATATAATTATTTATCAAACAATATAACTATTTATATTAAATTTTAAGTTTCAAGTTTCAAATATTATTTTTTAATATCTTAAATATTTATATAATAATATTAAAAAATTAAATATGAGAATTTGATGATCATGACTTAATTTATTATAAAATAAAAATTCATACTTAAAAACATTAAAATAAATATTATTTTTAAAAATAAATATTTTTTTTATTCGTTTGGAAACTATACCGGTATATAAAGGGAGGGAAAACCTGTACAGTAAGTAAATTCAAGGAAAAACATGTGATGATTTGAAGAAGGGGTGGCCGGCAACTTCAGTTTACCATTTTGATTATAAAGGTGCGAAACGCGGTAACTTATGGCTGTCGATGTAGTGGTAAAGATTTTTTTAAGAATAATTTTTATTTTAAAATATATTAAAATCATATTTTTTAAAATTTATTTTTAACATCAAAATAATTAAGAACACACAAAAATTAATTTAAAGTGTAAAAAAAATAAAAATAAAAATAAAAAAATATAATTAAGTCACAATACTAAGTACCTCCTAAAAAATCATTAAAATCTTGCTTTGTATGATTGAATTCTTAGATAACATTTGCTGAGTTAGAAAGAATGAAAATAAAATAATATAGGTGGAAAAAGATTGAATTAGATATATATTTAGAAGTGTGTTCGGTAGTAATATGTTAGAGAAAATAATTATATTTATATAAATAAGGATGTACAGATAATATCAAATGTAAAGGAGTATATCTTAGTACCCATCTATTATTGTCAAGTAAAATCATTGAGATACTAAAAAAAATATTAATATTTTTTTCATTCATATTTTAGTATATATTAAATTTAAAATATTAATATCAGAAGCTGATAATAAATCAAACGATGAATTCATAAAATTTAAAAGAACAACAATTAATTCTTAGAATAAATAAATGCATAATTATGAAAAAGATACAAGAAAAAGTTATAATAAAACAAAAGATAGATTCATAAAATTAAGAAAATATATGTTATGTACAATGCATAAACATTTAATGCCTCACTTATATTAAAAAATAAAATTACAATTCTATAAAAAAAAAAAAAAAAAACAAGGTTAGAGGCAAGAAAGATAAATGCCTCACTTACCCAACACCCGACCATAACAAATTAAATTAGATTCTCTCTCGTATAATTTCAGACAAACCATGAAAATTTAAATTAAATAGATTTGATAATATTAGATATATGACGAATGAGATAAGATTATCATCCTAATTAAATATAATATCTCAATATTCTAAATTAATCGATATTGATTTAGATTTATATTAGATGACCATAGTTAATATTATTTTTATTATTACTAATTTCTAGCTACAACTTTATGTTAAATTAAACCCGTAATTCCAGCATTAATTTTTCAGTATTATATTTTCCTTGTTGTAGAGATTATCCTAAGAATAATTTCTATAACATGGAAAATTGGGAGTGCCCTCACCAACAGAGGATTTGATAGGAATTGCACGAGACTGGATGACTGAACGAAAGCACAGGCACACTGTCTTGGATGACTGAACGAAAGCACAGGCACACTAGACCCTATAGTATTATTTTACAACTGTGTTAAAAGTTATACTGTGAAGTGTTTTTTTTAATTGTAAATATATTAAAATTATATTTTTTATTATATTAAAATAATTTAAAAATACTAAAAAAATTGATTTTTTTAAAAATTAATTTTTAACAAATAACATTTTTTTTAATGACAAAAAACTATCCCAATCTAAAAATTTAAATTATTAAATAAAATCTTAAAATATGATTAATATTATTTTTTAAAATATTTTTTAGTGAAAAATTTTTAAATTTAAAATTTTAATAAACTTATAATATTTTCTGGTTAATTTTTATCAAATAAATAAAAATAATGAAATTTAAACTAATAATAAACAAATTCAAATATTATATTAAAAAATTATTTTAAGTTAAAATTTAAATTATTAAATAAAATATTAAAATATAATTTATATTATTTTTTAATATCAAATATTTTTAATGATTATTTAAACAAGCGTGTAAAACAGTATTTTTCAAATCAGGCTGGGCCCTTCCCTGGAAAGCAAATGCCGAATAAGCCATATTACCAGAGTAAAGAGGCGAGTTTAAACCCTTGATAAAAAAAAAAAAAAAAAAAAAGAATTATGAACCTGGAGGACATGCAGGCCCTGCATTAAAAGAGAAACTGAATTATATAATTTTTAGAAGCAATAATTCAATGGATATTGAGGTAATCTACAGTTTAAAACCCTAGTAAGAAACAAGACCAGATCGAAATGATCAAAGGTCTTTCAGTTCCAAATGGATCAAGAGGACATTCAAATCCAAAACGAAAACCTGACTGAAAGGTCCTGCTGGAAGCAAGTTCTGTAATTCTTGAAGAACGGCTGAAATAAGTGCCCTAATTGGCCAATGTAGGACTCTTTACCCCCTCCTTGCTTGCCTGTCAAACACTTTGCAACGATCAGAAGGTTTTGTTTTCACCAACTCACACACAAGTATTAAAGAAAACATAAGTAAAATTAGGGTTAGAATACTTAAAAGCTATATATGCGCTGCATGCATGCTATAATTAAAATTAAATTTATAGCATATCAGATATAAGAACGATGCAAACAGGTATCAAAATGATAAACAAATATAAAACAATAGTTTAAAACTGATTTTTTTATATGAAAAAAGCAAGACGAACAGGAATAGATAAAAATTGTACCAGAACAAAATATGAGGCGTCGAGGAAAGAAAAATTACAATGACAGGTTTATTACAAAGCAGAAAGACAGGAGAAGGGATTTGCCAATATTTGGTAAGAAACACCTGTTCACCACCATAAGCTTTCCTAGCTTTCCTCACACAACATTAATTTGGTTCTCTCTTAGCCATCAGCTGTTTTTTCGTCTCTCTCTTAGCACAAAATCGCTGGCTTAACTAACAAAAACCACCACACAAAGCTCTCATGCAACTACGATATTTCTGCATGTCTCCTGATCTTCTCAATCTCTCTCTCTCTCTCTCTTTATTTGGAGAATGCCCTCCTCCTTTCTCTGCCTTCTTTCTCCTGACGGATATCCCAGACGTCATTGCCAATATATTTGATGGCCCAAGATAGCCGCTGTCATTCCTTCTCTGGTACCCTAACCACCATCTCCATTGACCCCGCAGAGACTGATCTCTCTTGGCCTTTTGGAGACCTTAAAGGTCTTGATAAGGATGACATCCGTGAGACTGCCTATGAGGTCTTCTTCACCGCCTGCCGCTCCTCCCCTGGCTTCGGAGGAGGCCGCAATGCAATCAACTTTTATTCCA